AGTATACACTTTCCGAAAAAGATTTTATGTCTGTATTTTTTTAGATTCCATGAATTTTTCGTACCAATATGTCAATTCATACTTTTTTCTTGAAATTTCCGGAAACAAATCCAACTTTTGCAGCTTTTTCTATTATCTCTGTCTCTGGCGGTATATTTATCAAAATCGTCACATCTCGGTATATACATCATATTATTTATAATGAATTGATGAAACAATATTTGATGGAAAATGCGATTTCTTTCAAAAGCACTAATGAGAACTACCCTAAAGAATTCAAAAAACTTCTTCTGACAGTTGTGACAACAATTCAAAGCTGAACAGCAGCCAAGTTTTGATCGATTTTTGTTGATTCTCCATGGAAATGTATGTGGTGTTGGCAAAGTGCCGTGAGAAAAAATATTTCTCACAGTATGGGCAATACATGGTTTTGAATTTAAGTAAGCTATGAGAAATGCGCTACTTTTCATAGCAGTAGTAGAAAAAACATTTTCCCAAATTCAAACAAATGTTAACTTGTTTCAACTGAGCATTTCAATGAACCCAGTCTATTGGAATTCCTAGGATGCTCTTTTCGGTACACTAAAATGAATAATGAATGAGAAGGCCATTCATGAAAAAACTCTGAATGCTTGATTGATTTCAGAATCATCTCGGAAATTGAAAGTTCATGGTCAATAAACGTTCCACTTTCTAGAATATAGTTCACGATTCAGTAGTAAACAATCAATAATTATTGTTATTTGCCCATTCAGTTGGATTGATGACCAACAAGTCATGACTTGGTTTCACGATTCACCATGATCATTTCCATGAAAAACAATATCAGTGGGAAAATTAAGATTTTGGGTTTCCCATGCACAGAGCGACTAGATAAAGACCCTGGAAAGTGCACACGCAACCAGTGAGTCGCAGGAAATAGCTGCGAATAGGAACACATTGAAGACCGAGAATGGCTGATGAGACCTGGTGAACCGAAACAGTGCTTGTTGTCTCGCTTCTGCTGACAATTATTGGGGCGACTCATCCTATATCTTCAAGATATGAGATCTAGTTTATTTATATCGAGAAGTTCGCGTTGTAGATGGTTTTCAAATATTACATTTGTGATAGTATAGCAGTATAAAAGATGAATGTATATTGTGTATAAGAACATCATATCCTTGGTTATTTATCGACGATGTCCACAAACTCAACAAATATGATACAGGACTACATTATTCTGCATAAATACGAACAATACTAAACAAATATTTGAATGAAACCCAACCCAGACATTCAATAATCGCATACATTTCTTAATCAGTAAATTAACATCTAACAGAATACATATTATGATGAATAAATTGAAATTAAAAAAGAATTCAATAAGAAGCTCCAAAAACAATGAAATGAAATGTTCCTTTATAATTTTAACTATCAACTTATATATAGTACTTATTTAATTTTGAAAAATTTGCTGAGTTCAAGTTTTAAAATTTTCGACCTTTTTTCACTCCTAATATCATTTTCCGGAAATTGGGGTGGTTCCATGGTTGTTGGCGAGCAGTGTATATCACTGAATATGAACGGCTACCAAAAAATTTGCCGAAATTATTCTCCCTGTAACTTTTTCAATCCTTGTCCGATTTTCATGAAATTTCGATCAAATTGTAGATTCATGTTCCAGAATGTTAACCTGAATATTAGTTTCCGTGAAAAGCTGATGACTTGATCATTATACAGGGAAAAACCAAGTTTACTATTTTACCCTTCACTTTTTAACGCCCTGTGACAAAATTGGATAGTAGAGCTTGGCTTCATTATGCTTTGGATTGAAGTGTGACCCCTTCTCAGCACAATATTATTTGGTTCACGTCAATATCTCATTTTCGAGAGAAGATACGAGTGTATCGAAAATTTTTAAAAACTATCGAAATCTAAAAGATGTAATAGAAAGATAAAATCCGAGTCACATATGTAAAATTCAAATAAAAACAACTTTTTCAAGTAAACTTTTTCAATATTCGAACAAATAAGCCTACTTTCAGCGATTAATTTGAAAAAAATGTCACTTTTGACATGTAGCGAAAGTCACGTGATCCCGATTGAGTAGGCCATTTTTCATCTTTTATGAAGCAAAACTTGACGTCCAACTCGAATTTCAAAATAAGTCATTAATAAAAGTTTTTCCCATATGATGCCGACTTTATGAATGACACTGTATACAAACATTTTTTTATATTCATAATTATTATATCTGAGAATATTCCTTTTCGAAAATAAAGTGGTACTTGATGAATTTTTAAAACAGTTATATGTGATTTCATATTCATCAATAATTTTTAACGCTATTTAATACAAGTAACGTGTCTTTATGTAATCATTATCTAATTGGTATAGGTATGAACAAGTGCATAACGACTTTCTATATAAACACTATAATATAACAACGGTAAACAATATAATTTTCTTATAGAATCATAACTAGTCTTATATATTCTTTCTTTACGGATGTCTAGGTGATTCATACATAATTATTGAAACCATCCTATGATAATTTATTATTATTCAATAACTACCTCGCACAAATAGCAGTTATTATCATAATTTATGTATACAGTAGGTACATAAAGTCGAGCATGAATTCATTCGAGATTGAAGTGAATATTTTCGAGAACATGAAAAACTCAGATTTTTTCTTCAACCGGGATTTTCTTAACAGCTAAGGATCAAGGATTATAAGTGCTTGAGAATACTTCCTTTGACAAACTACTCCAAAAGCTTCAATGAATCACGTGATACATTTCAGAAAATCTTGAAAAAGAAGGGCAAACATCCTTGGAAGAGTTGGAAGCGTATTCAGTGTGCCAACCAATGAACTCAATATAAACACCTGATGCCAATCAATGAACACAGTGGATTTTTTCATGAAATTATGAATCCCATTTGGCACTGTATAATTCCTACAAAAAATTCACTAAGGTTCAAGGAAATTGGAATAACGATTGAAAAGAACGCTTTTTCGAAAGCTTAGGTATACATTCAGTTCGTTGGGTATGCCCTGACAGTGAATATTATACCATATGACTCTAACGATGATATAACAGTAGCTAATTTTCATTCCCGTCTTTTCCTCAGTAGTTACGAAACAAACTGTAAAAAATTTCAAGATCACTATTGAATACTAATGAAAATTGACCGTTAAACGAACCATACTTGAAGCAAACATTCACCACAAACCACATTTGATCGTGATGCGACTGATTCTTCAATATCCATGGGTGTACCCCAAGGTTCGATACTATGGGTCCATTAGTCAAAAGTTTCATAGGTATTATAGCTGCCTATATATGCATATCAATTTTATTATTCTTGATCATCTACCTCTGACATTATCTAAATGGGTAGCTATTCTTCATAACAATTTTATTTTCTTGCATTTTAATTAATTATTTACCATAGATGAGTTATCGTGTTATGTAATTGATCTGGTCTCAAGGCTATATCAGATCCTCTTACTTTTAGTTCCTCTTACGTTGACCTAGTCTATAGATACATAATTTTTTCGTTTTTTTTTCTTCTTCTCAAACTGGTTCTGGCATGACATGATCGCCTCAAAATTCAATCAATGATGATATGCAGGGTGGCACACCGAAATCGTGCGTTGCAAGCATCCTATTGCATATACAGGGTGAGTCATTGAAATAGGAAAGTGAGATAACGGCTTCGCTGCTCGAGACAGATGAACAAAAGAAATTTTGTGATGGTCTAGGCTCATTAGCAGTATATTTCCTAAATATTTATAGAGAGATAGATAGGTAGATCAAAATTCAGAATCATGAACCGCAAGTATTCGTTCAAATTTAATATCATGTAAGCCGTTTTGACCAATAATAAATAGTTTCGTTCAAAAAAAAAAGTTGAAAAATCTCGATTTTGAACACCCTATATCTCTGTAAACATTCTCGCTAATGCAATGAAATACAGGGGGTATCCCATGGGAGAAAGTATAACTTTGATACGTCACGCATTTTTGAGTCACCCTGTATGACGCGAAATATTTTGGAAATGTGCTGCTCATGAGCCTAGACCATTACAAAAATGTTTGTCCATCTATCTCAAACAGCGAAGCCGTTATCTCACTTTCTCATTTCAATGACTCACCTTGTATATATCCGGGAAAAAAGTACTCACCTTTTTACCTTGTCAGATAAGTCGTAAAACACTCAGTATATTGAACAATAATACTCTGTGTCTCATACTTGGGCAATAAATATTGTAAATCAGTAGATAAAATGATTCATCGATATCAGGAAACAAGTTTGAATTGAAAATTTTCATCCTGTATTTATATTAAAGGCGAATTTTCGAAAACGTCCCGAGTTAATAGTCTAAAATAAATAATGGATATCGAGAAGGTCGTTTCTGAATATACTAAATCAACTGGGCCATGGTTTTAGTCAACGTTTTTGATTTTTTTTACCGAAATGAGATTTTATCCTATTTTCTTATCACCCTGTATATTTCACAATAGTGCTTTTTTCGTCTTTCATTGTCCTTCACAAAACATGAGAACAGTTCTTCCCAATATTCAGCTCAAGTGGAGTTCTAGAGAAAAAATTCAAGAAATGCAAGACTTTCGAAAAAAAAATCGAATTTTTGTTCCAATGGCCAATTAAGGAGAAATCACGATAACGTCCCGAGATGAGGTCCCAGTGTATCATAATATGACTGACTTTTGATCAGAAAAAAATTTCTCGAGTTCTGGTAGCATTGGAAATGTAGACCTTAGTGTAATGGTTCCACTTTACACCCTGTGTTAGTTTTGTTATGCGAACTTTTTCAGAGTGTTCTAGCTCTCTTTGAAGCCGATGGAATATCACATCTGATATCGAAAACCGCATGAAGATCGGTCAATTTTTTCAAAAAATGCAGGTCTTTGAAATAGAGTCAAATTATGAGTGGTCCATTTAGTGTGTTGAGAACTGTATTTGAATATGAAAAACTCCCTTTTTCAGGTCTAGTGACCTCACAGTCCAACAAAGAAGTCCAAGAAGACCCATGCAAGACCAAATCGAGACTCGTTGGTGACGTCACGTACTGTGACAGATATTGGGAATGCGTAGACGGCCAGCCAGAGTTGTACGACTGCCCCAACGGGCTGGTGTTTGCGGGGAAAAATAGAGGAGTCACCGAGGGGTGTGACTACCCTTGGAAGTCCAACTATTGCGATGGAAAACAGCAAGCAAGTGAGTAAAACAATTTTTTCTGCAACCGACACAAAAGTCGTCCATTTTAATACCAAAATTAGCTCTTGAATTGACGTCTCTATCACTGATACAAAAATAGGTATGTTGCTAGGCAACACATTTAGTTCCTAGGAGCTAAAGTTGAACTTTGGTGCCTAGGAGATCAAGTTGAACTTTGGTGCCTAGGATCTGAAGTTGAACTTCAGTTTCTAGGAGCTAAAGTTGAACTTTAGCTCCTAGGAACTGAAAAAGATGTACTAGAGGCCATGAAGAATGAACAACATTGTTGTGGTTGGTTATTTGGGTTGGGACGCATACCTGATTCGTTCCCGATTTCGACAGATTTGGCATTTCATACCCATGCTGGAGATATAAATACACCTTTTAGTATAGTCTTTGAGTATTCACACTAGTGTTTATAATCAAGGGTATAGTTGAGTAATTTTGTTTTGATCAGGAAAGCCTTCAAGATTCACATACTTGCTTGATCAGTATTTCATTCGTTATTCTCGGGATGAATAACTTGTTTTTGAATAATCACGGCCAGCAATAGTTTTTGTGTCTCAAACAATGATATTGTTTACCTACATTTGATTATCGAGCCAAACACAGTGGAGTATGGAGAGAAATAAATAATCGCTATTATTATTGTTGATATGCTCACTAACCCAACATTTTCCACGTCTTGTTCTTATACCTGGCACTGGCGCGGTATTTGCCATTGAAGCATTGAAGCATCTGGTCCATACACTAATATGTCATTCTGTGATTGTATTTTTATCGGAACTACAATTCGAACATCCTTGAAAATTTAATAAACCTGCTGGTAATACAGCAAATGCAAAATTCGCTTGTCAAATAAAGTGTCACTTTTGATCCTAATAAAACAATCTACTATTTTCTGAGGTCGAATCAGAAAGTCGGATTTTGAATTTTTTTCGATATTACGTTGATAGAGAACTGGAATTAGAAATATTTTTTGAATTATCGTGGACGTACTTCGTTAGAATATCGAAGGAAGTCACAACAGAGAGAGAGACTGGCTAAATTTCGAAATTTCTTCGATGTATGTAGACAGGAAATCAAAATTAAAAATTTCAATGGTGTACTCAATTTGTTGTGGTATCACAAATGCAGAATATCGAAAGAATTATCATAAATAAATATCGAAAAAATTTTAAAATTTTGAATTATCTTAGACGTACTGTGTTGGAATTTCGAAATAAGTCACAACACACTACGCACAAGAATGAAGAATTTTTTCAAAGATTACTAAGTCAGAATTCAGAAATTTCTTCGGTGTATGTTGGTGACGGAGAATCGAAATAAAAAATTTCAAGGGCGTACTCAATTTTTTTCTGAGGGGGGCAAAATTGCAAATTTGTGTTGAAGGAATTCGAAATATCTTGGATTTCATTGATAGATAATCAAAATCGTCACTTCAGAGGCGTGGTACTGAATTGTTTCCCAGAGGAATGAATGAAAAAAAAAATGTCGAGAAAACTGATGAATCTGAAGGGACATACCAATGTTTTTCAAAAGGGGGTCAAATATGAAAAATCGCGGAACTTTTGAATTCACTGAACATCCCTGAAAAAAACTCGATCTCAAGGAATTTCGAAATTTTTTTGACGAATGTTGGAAATGGGGTCACAGATCGACAGGGTGACACACTAAATGAAAACTTTTTTTGCAAGATCCACCGATCGGTGCTGACCATTGCGGATGGCTTTACGGTATTTTCGGACACGAAACGTCATGTACTCGGTATTGGACCTGCTGGAATGGAACAGTGACTGAACAATTCTGCATCGGAGGTCTGCTTTATAACGAGAGGACTCACTCTTGCGATTGGCCAGAAAATGTAGACGGATGTCAAAAACACCGTGAGTATATAATAAGCTATTTTGGTGCCGAAAATGGCTATCAGGTATTATTCACACTTGAGAATTTCATGCTTCCATTCCATGTGTTAATAGTTGAAGAATTATCTTATGGGAAATATTTTTATTTTTCTGCGGAGTTCATAAGAAACAATGAGGAAGACCAATAAGGGATGAAATTCGTCCAAGCCTCTTTCAATCGACGAATCATTACATTTGATATAGAATCAATATTATAACAAGTCGAAGCCCTGAGGGGGCAGAAGGACGATCTAGCCTTCATAGCCATCTAGTGGCTTAAGTGCAAGGTGTATAGGTAGATTCATCAATCATACCTTGCGACTAAGTCGTGCATATAGACCCCTACGTCTATATGCTTACAGAAAAGACATCCATGTCAGATTCTGTAGACTATCGCAACACCTGTAATTCTCAAAGTGGTTTAATGTTCCACTAACAGATGGTGATAAACCTAGAATCTCAAGACTAAGAGTTTCTAGGGAAATTTCGTGAATCGATTGTCAGCTGATGCAAGACAGACTGTTTCGACTTGCCATAAGTCTCATCAGTTGCACTGGCCAGCTGACAATCGATTCACGAAGGGTGCCTCCATATATCAAACAAGTCGAAGCCCTGAGGGGGCAGAAGGACGATCTAGCCTTCATAGCCATCTAGTGGCTTAAGTGCAAGGTGTATAGGTAGATTCATCAATCATACCTTGCGACTAAGTCGTGCATATCCCCTCAATTCATCAATATTATAAGTTAAAGTTGAAGGAAATGGAATCCTCAGTTTTGAAATCATCATATTTACGTTAGATATTTCAAGAGGCTAGATTTGTAGGTGGAACCGTGACGTATTAGTCCCTAACTGTTGCTATCTCTCTCTGATACCTGGCCATTCTGCAGTGTTGCAGTGTGATTGGTCGGCTCAAGGACAATAGGCGTGTTTGGGACTAATACGTCACACCAGTCACACCAATGAATTGACACCATTTTGAATGGAGCAGGAAGAGCGTGTTCTGAAATTAACATATATCAATATATTATTTTTATCGTCCTATAGTATCGAAGGAAAAAATTAAAATTATATTTAATAGTAGGTTTTTGGTATAGAGCTCACGATGATGTAGTTTAAAAAAATCAATGGTCTCTCGCATTGTGATAGTCATTTATTTTACTAGGCAGCAAAGTATCGTTCAGTTGAATTGTATAAAAATCGGTATATATTATTGACGATTAGACCGAATTTTGTCACTTCACGTCACGTTCTACAACCTATCCCATAAGTAATCATGACTGCTATGAGCTTGTATAAAATTCGCAATGGTGATACAATCTATACTGGTGACATTTGAGTCATCATTGGATATCGAATCATATCGAAAGCTCACAGTTGAATCAATCAGAAAATTGAGAAATATTCACTCGATATAATTCCTTGAAATGAAACAGTTGGCAACATAGGAGAAGGTATTGTAAGTACTGGATATCAGTATATTTACCTCCGAGGCTATGTTTGAACGTTCCCTATAATTGAAGGGTATTCAAAATAAATAGTGTTTTTTTTGGTATTACAGCAAAATTTATCATTTTTTTCTTTGTTCTCTAGCCCTGTGTAATGATGACCCCAACGGCAATGTACCCTTAGGCAAATCTTGCAACCGTTACTGGCAATGCCAGGGTGGCTACCCTCGACTACAAAGATGCCCCGCCATGCTGGTTTTCGATCGCCATTCTCTGAGGTAAGTCCGTTAGTTTCTTTCATTTTTAATCGCAAAAAATACCATCCATAGTCTTCTGAGCAACCTTGAAGATGAAATTGATAATGATGATAAATCAGGTATTTATGAGATGAATTGTAACGACTGTGACATGACATATATTGGGCAAACACGTCGTAGCATTGGCATAAGATTCAAGGAACATATTGCTTACAATAACAATTCGGCATATTTTACGCGAAAATAGCCAGGAGAGTAGTTGTTTTTCTACCATTGTTGTTGTTCATTTCATCGAATGATGAAGATGATGGAAAGGCCTAACTTTGGGTGACAACTCGAACTCACTACCTCTGGGTTAAAAGCCCAACGCAATGATGAGTGAATTCGGGAAGTGGTAGGATTCTAACGCCCTGATGACAACTCGACCTTCCTGCCGATAGATGGACGAGTGTCCCGTTAGCTCAATAGGCAGAGCGTTGGGCATGTAACCCAGACCCAGCGAGCACAAACATCCCTGGGATGTTTTGGGATGTTTTGAAAATGTTGGCATGAAGATGTTATTTTGAGACGTAATATGCACTGACCAAAGAGGTCTTTGAAGTATATTGAAGTATTGTTTTTGTTCTTCTGTGGCATTTCTTTGTTTGCCTACTGAGAGGTATCCCTGGGATGTTTTGGGATGTTTTAGAAATGTAGGTATGAGGATGTTTTTTTGAGGCGTAATATGCACTTCCCAAAGAGGTCTTAGAAGGATATTGAAAGTATTGTTTTTGTTCTTTTGTGCCCTTTCTTTGTTTGCCCCACCACAACGTCTCATGCTTACGTCACAATACGATGAATTCTGATTTGTTTTCGATTTTGTTCTTCTTGTTCGCAATTGGCATTCGCGTTTGCAGCGTGTCACGCTTACATCACGCTGCTAACGAACAGAAAGGAATTTGGTGAAGTTTATAGTGTTAGAAGACTTATTCAGTTTGTAATAATGACCATCAGATGCAAGATGTGTTGTTCGGTGCCTCAGTGTAATCAATATATAAAAGTACGAATTTATCAATACACAGCTTCTCCGCAGTTGCGAAATTATGCATTGTGGAGAACATTTCAAAAATTGGGAAACCTATTTCCAATTATATGTCTGTGTGTAGTAAGCAATACCCAGAAACCGATTAAGAAGGTAATTTCATATCAAGAAAATATTTTTATGTTCAATCTATTTTTAATGCATTTTTTCATTCAAGGGAAATGGAATCCTATTGCAAAAGTTCATTTTGACAGAAGGCTTCAGAAAAGTACCTCGAAAATGTTTTTTTACAACGATTTAATGTGCGCAAGACGCGATGAAAATGTTTTGTTGTGTCCATGAAAAGAACTAGGGAGAAGGTAGTTTTGGGACATATCAAGGACATCTCGATAATTGCCGCCTGCGGCGGACATTGGCTGTTCTATAATAGTTCTATTCACGTGTGAACAGAACATCGCAGTGGAGGTTCAATGTCTCGAAATCTCGTATTTTTAACATCTCTGAGATGTTTTTGTGCTCGCTGGGGAGGTTGTGAGTTCGACTCTCACGCGGGGCGGAGGAGTATTTTTAATTTTCGTTGTCACTCGAAATTAGGGCTTTCCGCCGTCTTCATCATTCTATGTACCACATCATGACACACTCCTATGCATTTCATTAAACACTTCTGAGAATGAATTTAGAGTTTGTTTTTCATTGTTATTATCAACAGGTGCGTGGTACCACCAACCGAGGATTGTGACATACCAAGTACTGTTCCACCACCACCCCAAGAGGAAGACGAGTTTGATAATGTGCCCAAGAATAATCCTAACAACAAGGGTAAGCAGGACTATCGGCAGGACCAAAGGCAGGATTTCCCGAATTTGCCACCTGGTGCAATTCCAGTCTCCGGAAACAACAACAACAACAACAACAAGTTGGGGAGGAATTAGGAAACTGTTTCGTGAGATCAATTATTGGAGTTTAGACAGTAAAAGTGGGGATAGTGCTAAGACATACGTTGAATTTTCAGAGAGTGTTCCTTTAGTGTGTGTGTGAGGAAAAGTTGAGGCTTTATATGCATATGAAATTTCCTATGTCAATGGGGATTCGTGAAATCAGTGCTTATAGAGCATTAGATTCTTCAACAAAAAATGAGAAAAAAAGTTTGAGTGATTATTATCATGTGATCTACTGCTGAAGTATTACATCATACTGACTGTGGGATGCAAACAGTTTGAAAAAATGCCTTCTAGACCAACTCAGAGATTATACAACTTGTCTTCTAGTAGTAAAACACTCAGTACAAGAAAATACCTTCAGTATGTCCTCATCTTGCTTGAGTTTAGAAAATTTGACGTACCTACAGAGGTCCCGTAAAGACCACGTCAAACCTAAGGAAAATGTACCGTTCTCGAGATTTTTTGTTGTTGAAAATATTCACTACCCAAATTTTCAATCAAAATATTTCTCACAGCCCCTCTTCAAAATGTTCGGAGGATGTTTTCAATGTATACGTTAAAGTTATTCTTTCAGCAATATTTACCGAGGAAATGAATCGAAAAGGTGTCAAATTGTACCAACCGTGTAGACCAAACTATTGAAAGGGGCAAAAATACAATATTTTCAACAAAGAAATATCTCGAAAACGGTAAGACTTTTATGGAGGGAATTTTGTCATAGCAGGTGGTTTATCCTTTGATCTACATTCTCCCTAGGTTTGACGTGGTTTTTACGGGACACCCTGTACATAAACAACTGAATTTTTAACTAAAGGTCTCTATTTGTTCATTTAAATAACTGATTGATGGACCGTTATCTTTGTAGAAATGATTCACTACGACACTGTTTCATTCATGAGTATTGAATAATAAATATTACATCTCATCAATCATGTATTACCCAACAATTAATATTAAATTATTGTTAGTCTGTGGTTTCAACAGTAATGAAAGGCGTAGGTAAACTTTCACTTTTTGTTAGGATCGTTCATCAGTAGTTCTGTTTCTTTCGAACTCACTTTTCTCTTGCCTTGAAAAAATTTATACACTCACCACAGTGCTGGATCCAACAAATTTATTAAAAGAAAAGGCACTTCAAAAAAATTTTTTAAATGAGACACAGAGTCTGGGACAAATAATTCCAATCTATTGGAGAATAATCGGATATAAGTATTAATTAAAAATGTATATTATTTCCTATGTGTTCACAGTTTTTTCTCTGTAATGCCAGTACAATTACTCACTGCTTTCGATGACAGTATTCTCCTCGAAGAAGATATTCTCTATTGAATAAAATCTAGTTCTTAGTCATGCAATTGTTTTATTTTATTATTTTATACCAATACTAAACGAGAAAAAACTTCGTCAGCAGATGTTCGTATATTTTTTTCGACCTGAAACATACGTATTCCATCAATGCCACTATACAAGATGATTCGGAATATACAGTGTGTCCCACTTACCATGCTCACCATGGGTATCTTTTTAACGGTGAGAGATACGAGGTCGGTTAAATGACACCAAATGTGGAGTTTGTCAAGGCCAACTATAATGTGAACAAATATTTTGATAAAATCTATTCGTTTTTGTTTTATACGCAAAAAACAGATTTTGATCATGATTGTTCATGTCTCCTCCGTAACTTCTTTATTTATGAAAATATTCAAATAGGAATTTCACATTCTCATGACAGTTTTTCAAAGTGATTTCGAAAAAAATATAAAATTTATACCAACTCTTCTAGAATTTGAGATATCAGCACCAACTTTAGTTTTTCAAATGTAGGTCATAGCTCACTATGACTTAGTTACAAATAACTTTTTTTTCTCTTTCAGATGATATGTCGCAGTAATAGGTTTGTGTTGATAACAACGGAGTTATCGTCATTTATACAAAAACAAAAAATTATTTGGAGGCCGCCATCTTGAATTTATAAATTTTAACAAGAAAATCATGATCTCCGACCTCAAAAACCCCCACTTACCAATTTTGAATGGAATCGGACCAAATCTTGTCCGCCATCTTGGAGCAGCCATTTTTTTCAATTTCAACAAAAATTCTATAACTCCGATTAACTTGAAAGATGGCGGACAAGATTTGGTCCGATTCCATTCAAAATTGGTAAGTGGGGGTTTTTGAGGCCGGAGATCAAGATTTTTTTTTTTAATTCATGAATTCAAGATGGCGGCTTCCAAATAATTTTTTGTTATTGTATAAATGACGATAACTCCGTTGTTATCAACACAAACCTATTACTGCGACATATCATCTGAAAGAAAAAAAAAAGTTATTTGTAACTAAGTCATAGTGAGCTATGACCTACATTTGAAAAACTAAAGTTGGTGCTGATATCTCAAATTCTAGAAGAGTTGGTATAAATTTCATATTTTTTTCGAAATCACTTTGAAAAACTGCCATGAATGAGAATGTGAAATTCCTATTTGAATATTTTCATAAATAAAGAAGTTACGGAGGAGACATGAAAATTATCAAAATCTGTTTTTTGCGTATAAAACAAAAACGAATAGATTTTATCAAAATATTTATATACATTATACATTATAGTTGGCCTTGGCAAACTCCACATTTGGTGTCATTTAACCGACCTCGTATCTCTCACCGTTAGAAAGATACCCATGGTGAGCATGGTAAGTGGGACACACTGTATACTTACACGTTATTAGTACAAGCATCAATCATGTTCTTATAGTACGGGGAACAAGTATCTGGATAAAAAAACTTGTTATGTATCATTATTCCATGAGTCAGTGCATACACGAAGAACCTTTGCCAATAGTGATTAGTTATTTTCATTTTCTTGCAAAAACATGCGTATATCATCTGAAAAACAATGAGATCATGTACTCTGTGGACAAGGTTACTTTGAATCAAGTTTGTCTGTGGTTTGTACATTGATGAAATAAACCTCTGGTGCGCTCACTCTTCATTTGTTTCGTCAGACTGGTTCTTGATATGAACAATTGAATTTCAGACGATGACGTGGGGTTCACATATCGAATGTTAGATGGCGTGATTCTTAGAACTTATGATCAACATCAGTTCTACCAACCTTGATGCGGCTAAATCGCAAAATGTATTCCCTATCTTCATTGGTCACAATTCGGTCACAATTGTCACATTGATGCCTGTAATTTTGGTACGGCACCAGACTAAATTTAGCGACATTTACCCACGCCATGTTATGTTCATCGAAGTAGGCGGAAATCAAGGAATTGTAAAACAGGAAAGGATTGAAGTGCGTACACCAGAGGTTTATTTCATCAATGTTTGTACTACCTGTAATGATGTTGTGATTGCAATCACTAATACTTGTAGATTGGGCGAAATGCTATAGGAAATGCCTGATAATAGGCCTGCTACAAATCCATGATACTTTTCGCCAACGATGGGATTTTTGGAAAAGATAGACGTCAGTACCTATAAATTACAACACATTATAGATGAATCACTGAAAATGAAAACAAAAATAGTATATTATGTAATAAGTGTTATAAACGTCCTTTTAGTAACGAGTAGTTTAAGCACGAGCGGATCAGAGCGGAGCGAGTGTTTAATAAACGAGTGTCTAGAAGAGTTTAAAAACGCGTTACATACTATGATTTTCCTAAGAACTCTAAAAATCACATCAACATACCTGCAATTTCTGCTAACCTACAAAATAATTCGAAAGAAATGGGAATTGAGAATATATAATACATGCAACTGCATGCAACCAGCGAGACACGTATAATTACTAATGAGTGATATTGGTTGTAGATGAGTCCATTACATTGCTTACTAACCTTTGTTTCACGTTTATTGTCACGTTTATTGTCATGCTTAGCGCAGAATAAATAAATTGTTCTCAAAGATGGATGCTCCATTTTTACACTTCTTGGAGATATGCAAGTACCAGAACATTCTCTTCGATTCGAATATCAATTTATCATACATCAAAAAGAAATGGGTAGAGGTGTTGATTTCTTTTTCAAAACTGTAATACTTACTTACTTCTAGTTTTCAAACTACTTTGTTACTTACTCTGTAAATGGTTACATAACTTCCTATGAACAATCCAAAGTAAGCGTTCGATTTGTTAAATAAAACTTTCAGTAACTCGGATGGCTTTTTCAAAATGTTGCCGACTTTTGGTATCATTTTCCTGACGAAGTTGATTCCATAGCCTAATGAGAAATATTTCAAAAAACTCTGGAACAGAGAAGAAATGCTAGATCGTGATGGGTAATTGATTAAAAACATATTTTGTGTATACTTTTCGGTGTTTCTGTTAGATGACCCCACTTACTCTGAACAAATCAGTTTGTAAATAAGCGGCGGCAACGCAGCTATCACTAAGATCTTCAATATCCTTATCCGATAGATTTTTACTGGGAGGTACGTAAAACCTGGAAAACAAATAATTCAATAAATTGTTATTTAAATACTGTCCGTAGGTTAATCGAGGAGGTAAAATTTTAATTTTTCTAGATTATTCGGGATTTTCTCTCCTCGTTTCTCTAAAATAAATATACAGTGTGTCCACCTTAAGGACTTACCCCTGTAAAATTGTTATTATCTGACCGATTTCAAAAAACTTTTTTTTGTTGGATAGGTATTTGTGATGTCCATCCAACAAGAGAGTGATCATGAACTGTAATCGTGGCCAACTGCGACCAACTTTATTGACCCATATTTGAGAAAGTACTAATAGTGATTTTTTTTTTCACAAAAAACAATGATGGATTCTGAATCACGATCACTTGAAAAACACCCTTACTGATTTTTATCATCATAAAACACAGGGTGTCCGAAAAAACGAATTATGTTTTTTTTAATAGGTGATCAGGAAATGTAGTATTGTGGTATTTTTGAGAAGAATTGATGACACATTATTATTGAGGATCACTTTGAACATATCTGTACCGATTTTCATCATTCAAAAATACGATGTGTATGAGAAAACAATTAAAAAGAAAAAGTAGGCAATATTTTTTCATCAACTCAAAAAAAATATTAATCTGATTTTTTGAACACCCTGTGTTTAATGATGATGAAAATCGATACAGGTATGTCCCAAGTGATCCTAATTCATCTTTTTATTTTGAGTGAAGAATTATCAGGATGAAAAATATTGCTCATCTATCCTTGACAAAAATTGGTACAGGTATATTTGAAATAATCCTCAATGATATAATAAATAAATAATTTGCGATTTTTTATGTAGAAAACGGGATTACATTCATTCTCGAAACGTCCAAAGTTAAGTGAAAATTCGATATTTTTTCAATATATCTATTATTCTGCTCTCCAAACCTTTTTCAAAACAAAGTATTACTGACAAATTATTGGATTTTTGTTTTAGGCTCTCTGATAGACGAATTTTCAAGCGCAGTGACATTTTGGATCAGATGATTGATTTGTCCTACTACACGTATATTGAAATAATACTCATATTTTTATTTCAAGGCTGTATGACATCTGTTGAATTTGATGACAAATATGATAACAAAAATGATGGAAATGTTTTCTATGTGCCATACAGTATTAATATTTATAACATCAAAATATTTAGAACCAGTCCTCTATTTATACAAGAATGATTGCAAATCTGCACTGTATGACACATACAAAATATTTTTGGCATCATTTTTGTTAACACATTCGTCATCAAATTCAACAGGTGTCATACAGCCTTTGAAGAAACGAGGAGATGAAATCCCAGATAATCTAAAAATATGAAAAAAATTCATTGTTATTTAATCATTTTCAAGTAGTCATCAACATCGATGAATTTTGATACCTCAAAATTTTCGACTGCTTCAACCGATTTTAGATTTCTTATCAGTTTCTGAATATTCTATTCTTTGACTACCGAAACTATGAAAATAATGATTGCAGCTCTTCGGAATGAGATTCTACAGGATGATATTCAAAGCTGTGCAAGTTTTCAAATTCAAATGCCTTCCGTCTGAAAGGATAATTTTTCTAATTTGTCTGAGGGGTAAAACATATCGCATCCTCTGATGTTTTCACGAAATGATTTTTGAATTTTCGAAATTATCATACCCACAACACGAATATGAATATTTTTTTATAAGATAATGCATAATTTGATGTTTCAATTTATATTGACTATTTGCTCTTGTCATTCTGGTTCAAACGGTGATCAAAATCATGGAATGATGGATGATCAACATTTCCATTGATACAGGGTGATCCACAAAAAAGTTCGAAAATTGTGAGGAATCAAAAATAGATCGAAAAATTTTAATTATTGCATTGGACTGACCCCAAACTCACCAAAGATGTGTGAATTCCATTTTGACAGTTGATCTTTGCTCTAACAAATGCATCAGTGTACCGCTGACTCCCATGAAAAGTAATGTTTCCATCAATTTATCTAGACGCATCCTCCTCAGTATAGTCTCTACGAACTAAATTCATTAATCATTCCAAACAAGCGAATCACGATCATAAGAGAAACAATATATATTTTCTCCAAATGACATTGAAAGTGGTTTCTTAATGACACTGAACAGGCAGAAAAGGTGTAATTTTTCTGCCTAGGCAGAAAAATGTTGATGCTATTGTAATGAACGGGTATTTTAGAGAAAATGGTATGGAGCACTGAATTCTTCTGAACTAAGTACAGTGAAAAATAATTGTCTTGAACAAGAATAACTTTTATCATGCGTCTACTAGGCAATATTATTACGTGAACGGACGAATGTTTATTTTGAATTGAGTGCAGCATCATAATCATAAACAAATGTATAGAATAAGTAGGTACGTTACCTTTGTGAAACGAATTCACTGGTCACTTGAGAACGAAGCAGGTTGATATCACAGGACCGAATTGAGAGACAAAAATGAGGTTGATGAGAATTTGCAGAGAATTTATAAGTTCAGTAAAGAGGGAGTGACTTTAATCTGATTGGCTCGAAAGATCAATAAATTATTATTTAGCCCAAATACGTAAAGGAAAGAACATGTTATTGTCAATTTTGTTAATATTCCTGAAGTGAATTATTATCATAACATTGGAGAGTTACATCGAAATCATCTCACTTGTGCAAATTAAAGCCGAGAAAAATTAATGAGAATCATAAACCACATTGAATTATTGCTTGAAAAAGGGTTAATGGAAAACTATAGTAAATGACAGTTTTGTTCACATTAAGAGTATGAGTTATAGCTCAAAATTATTTATCGTCATAACAATTCAGAACTACAACGAAATCTTTTTAGTTTCACAAATTAATCCTAACATCTGTAATTTATCGCTCAAAAATCTACGAAAAATCATGCCTTATATAAACACAACATGGAGCTTGTCTTATATTCAATTGATTCTTTCAAAATGTATTGCTAAATTCTGTATAAAAGCAGGAACAATCCCAATAAAAAAAGACAGTCTGAAGTTATTCTTGAAGCAGTCTTGATCAGTCTCCAATACGATGTCTCGATCTCCGTTGTGTTAGTTGAAAGTTTTGTTAGTGAGCCTCGGGAGTGATTGAATTTCAATCATTGAATCTATTGAGCAGAATGTAAAATGTTGAGTCTTAAACGTGACTCAATACAAAACGTATCCAGCCGACTTTGTATCTGTCTATCAAACATGCTAAGTTCGAACAGTACCAGTGAACTTCGTTAATAATACCTGTGTAAGTGACCACTCAGGTAGATTTATTGTAATCTGCAACTTTGGTGACTAAGACGTAAAAGTGAAGTGAATCTCTCGCCAATTGAAAAAACAAGTGAACAGTGTAACAATAATGTGCAATCTAAAATGTAAGCAAACTTTGATTTTGTTGCCTGTAACCTCTGCCTGACCATTCTGCCTGAATATATGTCTCAGTAAATATCTATATGTTGTCTTATTGTCTACACTCTCAGTCTGCCTCCTGCCTCAATAATCAACGAACCCATTGATCGAGGAAAACTTACTTTGTAACGACCCCCTGTAGTAGGCCAACGAACGAAGAAAGTTGGGGGCATTACACTATGCTACGTTCCTAGTACTAATTTTAATCAAATTGGTAATCAAAATTGACAATGGCTCTTGGTGAACACAAAAAAAGGGTTAATTGGACTTTGCGTGAAATCGGAACGAATTTGAAAAAAAATTAAATGTTTCACATGGCAGAAAAGCAAATAACAATAATTGAAAAACTATTGTACTTCTCAATCAAAATTCAACTTGAGGGGTTTATATGATTCGATAACTAAAATTCAAAATGTCACCCTACCTGACAACACAAAATTCATTTCATTAGATGTACAAAATCTATTTCCAAGTATACCGCCCAAAGATACTATAATGTTAGTTGAGTTATTAGATAAAAACCATGTTGATTGATTGATTGATGGATTAATAGCAGAATGATCAGTCAGGGTTCGAAGCCCAAAACGCACTGCGGCCTTTGGGCCTATTGTATTCCTGATCATGCTGTTGACTCAGGTGAACAGGGTCGCTACCTTGATAAGGTTCAGCAGCCTCTTCACCAAATCATTCTTTGAAAAACTCTTGAGCGTTTACTGCTCCCAGAAGGTTGTATCTTCAACGCGCTAGTGCTTCGCACTCCAATATTACATGGGTGGCAGTTTCCCAGGGCCTACTGATATATAGTAGGCCCTGAGCATTGTCGATCTAAATGAAAACCTAGTAGGCGACTGCCTACTACCTAACTAGGTTGTCATCTAGAACGACAATGGTCTGCATATGGGTTCGTCTGTATAGATGCCCATTTGATGCATATGTTTCCTCAAGGGGCAGTGACCGGTTATTAGTCCCGTCACTTGTCTGATCTGACTTCTGTTTAGGCTCAGAATGTCGTTAGTCACTGTTTTGGACAGTGTTTCAACCATCAGTTTACTGTGTCTTTGTCCTGGGACATTGTTCCAGTATGCCTGATGTCTTTCTTGCATTCACCTTGCCAGCCAGCCGCGTTTTGAGATAAACAACGCCGCAGACCCCTGCCTAGCAAGAGCGTCAGCTGCTTCATTTCCTTCAATTCCCTTATGCCCTGGCACCCATTCAAGAGTTACCTTGTTGTGGTTAGCCAGGGTTAGCAGGCTTTGAAGGCAATACCAGACCAGTTTTGATCTGATTTTATTGCATGTTAAAGATTGAATGACCGCCTGACTATCTGAGCATATGAGGATTTGTTTACCTCTGTATCCTCTTACAATATTCTCTCTCAGGCATGCCTCAATAGCATGCACCTCTGCCTGGAATACTGAAGCACACATCCTGGTTCTGGGTCTATCTCCATATATTCCGGCTCCCGTGCCCTCATCAGTCTTAGAACCGTCAGTGTACCACACTAACGTGCCTTCCTGACAAGACATGTTAATCCGATTACCAAACAAGAGATTTCAGACCTTCTGTCGATATGTCTCGAACAAAATCACTTTCGATTTGAAAACAAAATATATTCCGCGTCAAAAGCGTTGATTATGGGAAATCCACTGAGCCCTTCACTTGCTGAAATTTTCATGGATAACTTGGAGCGAATAATACATAAACATTCAATGATAAAACGAATTTTTGTATTGGTATAGATATGTAGATGACGCTTTAGTATGCTTTAAGGAAACCAATAAACAATTAGACACTTTTCACCAATATATTAACAGTATTCATTCAAACATAAAATTCACAATGGAAATAGAAACAGGTAAGTCAATCAATTTTTAGATTTGACAATATGTAAAATTATTGATAAACATGATTTTTCAATTTTCCATAAACCTTCCCTCACTACGATATCACTATTCATAATAATTCAACTCAACACACCCTCACCAACATCATGAAATTGCAGCATATAATAGTATGATACACAGGATAGTGAATGCCCATCTTTCAGAAGTAAATTTCAATAAAGAACTCAATATTATAAAACAGATTGCAGTCAACAACGGATACAACGTTAATTTGTAGACAGTATTTTTTCTAAAAAACTTCATAATAAAGCTGTTCAAGAAGTTTATCCTACCATCAAAAATTATAATCAAAATTATAGAACTTTAACCTATTTCGGATCATCCACTGAAAAGTTAGCTTTATTTCTACATAAACACGACTCAAAAGTAGCAAGTAGTCTGTAAAAGGTCTTTACAAAAACATAACACATATTCCCTAGACCAAATTAAGTCGATTAAAGTAAAATTACCTCAGTACAAAGTTGCATCGTTTGGGCTCCAGAGGGCCTTGAAATTACAATTTTTAAATCGTTTTTCCCATATAAATTTAAAACGGCATATGCTATTTTGCGGAAATTTAGTATATTGATAGAGTTTTATTTGGCAAAAAAATGGTGTTGAAGTTTTTTCCGATAATAATACATAGGCGTAGAACTTGATTTTTTAAATAATTGCACCTTTAAAAATTTTACGCCAATGGCAGAAAAGGGGTTTGAGTTTTCACAAATTTTATGTCTTGACTGGAATGCCATATGCGACATTAAACCTTGTTGCTTCTCTGCCTAGTGAAACAAAAATAACTATTCCCTAGTACAATATGAGTTTCGAAATTAGGAAATATATGACATACTGTATATCTTACCGAGTTGAAGAATATCAGGGTGTCAAGAACTTGATTTTCTTCAGATTCTACAAGTATTGACAAACCAGAAAAGAACCCAGGAATCAAGGCTACATTGTAATAATAAATCCTGCCGAATATAAACCTGAAAACCGAACAAAGTATATCCCAGTAACAATAAAAAACATATTTTCGAAACTGTTAGGTACCTTAAAAAGCAAATGGATGACACCAGTAAAGTACCCATTGCTAACCCATAAGCAATGCTCCTCAGTTCAGATTTGACTAGATTGAGAAGAAGAGTTTTCAGATCATTTCTTTTGTAGGTATAAATTAGCTTAATCTGAAAAGACAGTGATGATTCATCAAGAATTGATTATTTCTTATTTGAAATAAATAACAATTGCCAATATTTTCGCAAGTTTTTTTTTCTGCAAATAATGTGGAATTTCCTTGAATCAACTCATTGGTATACAGGGTAGGGTGTATCTGGATAACAACTTTTTTATCCTATATGTGTGATTTTTGTATCTAGCTCAGTTTTTGAGGAAACAATAAGAATTCGATTGGACTCCAAATTTTAATGTAGGTACCAATAACCCCAATTAGAATCATTCTGAAATTTTGGGGCATTCTCAGTCTCCATCCATACTGAATTTTGGCACCATGAAAGCTCATACAGGGGGGTTATAAATAACAACAATTCATACTTCCAACTTCAACTTCCTAAATCTCAAAAACGGAGCAAGTTAGGAGACATGTTTCAAAAACGACTATTAGGCATTTTTTTATCGAAACAGTGACTAGCTCATTCGATTAAGGCATAGCTTAAATACCCCCAAACGAAATTTGAATGCAGAATCTCATATAGGGTGTTAGTTTTTCAATGAAAAATTTTGATATTTTTGATTTTTCGATTCACCCTGTATCAAAATCTAAGGAATCGATATGACTGGTGAAGTAGTCATTCAATGGAGACACACATTGAATACTTGGATACGGAGTTTCAGCGATGTAACTTCTACAGGAAGATGTCTCTGGGTCAACCAAAAATCAATGAAATTGAAGTTGAGGTTCACCATTTTGAAAACTCAAGTAAACCGTTTTTCACAAACTTCACCATACAGTACCTTTGAATATCCCCTCGATTGATGAAGAACTGTCGAATATAACACGAATAGAATGACAGACAAACATTCTACAAAGACTGCAAGGAGATTTACTGATACCAGACTGATACCCAGCGAGCACAAAAACATCTCAGAGATGTTAAAAGTACGAGATTTCGAGACATTGAACCTCCACTGCGATGTTCTGTTCACACATGAATAGAACTATTATAGAACAGCCAATGTCCGCCGCAGGCGGCAATTATCGAGATGTCCTTGATATGTCACAAAACTACCTTCTCCCTAGTTTTTTTTTAAAGCCTTTTCATGGACACAACAGAACATTTTCAACGCGTCTTGCGCACATTAAATCGCTGTAAAAAAACCATTTTCGAGGTAGTTTTCTGAAGCCTTTTGTCAAAATGAACTTTTGCATTAGGATTCCATTTCACTTGAATGAAAAAATGTATTAAAAATAAATTGAACATAAAAATATTTTCTTGATATGAAATTACCTGCTTAATCGGTTTCTCAGTAGTGCTTACTACACACAGACATATAATTGGAAATAGGTTTCCCAATTTTTGAAATGTTCTCCACAATGCATAATTTTGCAACTGCGGAGAAGCTGTGTATTGATGAATTCGTACTTTTATATATTGATTACACTGAGGCACCGAACAACACATCTTGCATCTGATGGTCATTATTACAAACTAAATGAGTCTTCTAACACAATAAACTTTACCAAATTCCTTCCTGTTCGTTAGCAGCGTGATGTAAGCGTGACACGCTGCAAACGCGAATGCCAATTGCGAACAAGAGGAACAAAATCGAAAACAAATCAGAATTCATCGTATTGTGACGTAAGCATGAGACGTTGTGGTGGGGCAAACAAAGAAAGGGCACAAAATAACAAAAACAATACTTCCAATATCCTTCTAAGACCTCTTTGGGAAGTGCATATTACGCCTCAAAAAAACATCCTCATGCCTACATTTCTAAAACATCCCAAAACATCCCAGGGATACCTCCCAGTAGGCAAACGAAGAAATGCCACAGAAGAACAAAAACAATACTTCAATATCCTTCAAAGACCTCTTTGGTCAGTGCATATTACGTCTCAAAATAACATCTTCATGCCAACATTTTCAAAACATCCCAAAACATCCCAGGGATGTTTGTGCTCGCTGGGTACTTAATGTGATCAAAATAATATACCTATTTTGGCGAAATAGAAAGGAGATTTGAGATGACAATGAAAATTAATATGTATAGAGAATATTTCCTCGAATAAGCTACTACTTTTTATATCAAGATATGGATCATAATGAAAAATTTGTCAACTTCAATTTCATTAATTTTTGGTTGACCAAGAGAGATCTTCCTGTAGAAGTTACAACGATGAAACTTCGTATCTGAGTATCTGATATGTTCCTTCATTGAATGACTACTTCACCGGTTATATCAACTCCATAGATTTTGACACAGGGTGAATCGAAAAATCAAAAATATCAAAATTTGCCAGTGAATAACTAACACCCTATAGAAGATTTTGTGCTCAAATTTCGAATGAGTTTTTTTCAGCTATGCCTAAATCGAATAGGCTAGTCACAGTTTCGATAAAAAATTGCCTTATTATCGTTTTTGAAATTTTGACCCCTTCAACAAATAAAAGTAGGCCTTGAAAATTCGAAAATTTCAAATTGGTTCACATTCTCTGATATAGCTCGTTGTGAATTTTTGTTTTTGTAAATCAGTCGACGGGTTCCAAATTAGAAGGATGTTGCGGGTTGAAATCGCACACCCTGTATATATCAGGTATTTGTTTTTTTCAGAGATACTTTGATATTTATGGAATACCCAACAGATTCGAAAAAATATATGGACTTACTAAATAAATAGGTAAGAAAAATTTTCCCAATCCTGTAAAGAGTTCTGTCAACCATATTTGAGAAAAGCTAGCTGCTCTGCAATCTTGGCACCAAGCATGGAATATGTCACATGATGTGTCATATTTTACTTTTTCATAAAATAGTTCTTTACTTATAACCGCAGGCATTTTAAAAACAATCGAACATTGGAATATACCTTAGCATACTTATCAGGTATGAAATTTTTATTGCCTATTATACTGTATCAGTAGGAATAGGCCATTTATTTTTATCATTAATATTTTCCATCTATAAAATATGTGAAAAACTATACAGGGTGGTTTTCATTCATCAATATCGCTTCAAGATTTATGTTATTCAAAATCATTTTCAATGGGCTATTTTATAATGTTCTGGTTCTCACGAAAAGGGATATCCTGTTATGTTCAGAGAACATCGTGAGAACCAAGGGAAATAAGGTAGGAATTGGTGTTCTTCGTAAATTTCTGGAGGTTATATGCTACGGGGATCACCTCCCTTGGCAATGTGTTCCAGAACCTCGCTGTTCGTTGGATGAACGAGTCTTTGGAAAGAGATGTTCTGCAGGTCTCCAAAGTGACCACGGAGGGGTGCCAAGCCTCAACTCGAGGGGTTAATCTCGCGAGGTCTGCCAAGGGAGGAACAATTGTTGATATTTCAGAATTGCATCGTCCATGAAAATATCTTTAAAATAGAGCCAGATCGCCAACTTTTCTACGGTGTTCCAGAGAAGTGAGTGAGTTTGTGAGCGAGGCATCACCCACGAGACGAATTGCCCTTTTTTGGACAGAATCCAACAGTTTCAGGGTATGTTTGGGTGCTGCACTCCAAATATGGGAACAGTATTCCAGGACAGGTCGGATCTGTGCCTTATAGATCATAAGCAGCTGACTGGAAGTGAAATAGCTCCTGGCCCGAAACAGAAAACCAAGTTTTTGGGATGCACTTTTAGCAATTGATGTCACGTGATTTTCCCAAGAAAGTTTATTGCTGATAGTAATATCAAGCATCGAAATGGATGTCTTCAAAGGTATGGTTACTCCTGACAAGCTCATGTTGGGCACAGTGAGATCGGCTTTTCTAGAGAAAAGGCATGCTTGTGTTTTGTTTGCATTGAAATCTACCAAGTTATTGGATTCCCATTCGAGAATTGTTGCCAAGTCCATATTCATGTTGTCAACATTTCTTCCTCGTTTGTTTCTGATTCGCCTGGCTGGTATTGGAGCCTTGGAAAAGAAGGCGGTATGGAGGGTACTATCATCTTTGAAGCTGTGTACTGGGCATGAAGTTGCTTCCAACAAATCGTTGATATGGAGTAGAAATATTGTTGGTGCTAGAATTGATCCTTGCGGAACACCATAGCATTTATGATAAGAGAGTCAGATGAAACTCCGTCGACCACTACTGGAGATACAAGTAATCTTACTCTCTTACTCTTAGAGTACAATGGGTAATATTTCAAGATGATTTAGCAGTGACAACCATTCTAATGGATATCCTACTTCAACAACCAACCTAGATTTATGAACTTACTATGTAAACTGGCAAGAAAAATAAAGCTGTTCCTTTTACTAGGTTAAATATCCAAAATGGCGATAGAGTTGCCTTGAGACAATTGGATTTCCAGTAGTGGAGAACTTCACATGAAATGTCTTGTTTCACTCTTTCATAAAAGAATTCTTTACTTATAATTGTCATTTTTGTGAATCACTATACTTATAACTAACTATACATGCAGATGTTGTTGAATCTTCATAGAAACTAAAAGTGACTTGGTACTCAATTTTATTCGTTATGTTTATTTAACACCTATTGTTTCACTTCCACAGAAAAAATAATCGTCATAATTATTCCAATTCTGTTCTGTATTGGATTCAACATTTTCTTTTCATACAATTATCCCACTAAACATACATAACAAACATATTTTTCAGAAATAAGTTTTGTGATATTGTTGAAATAACATTGCGATAATGTACTTCTGAAGTATCCAACATAATATTATGAAGTAAAACGTTTATGAGACGTTGCATCAATTTTGAAATCAATATTATCAGATAATATTGTAATATGTCGATTTTACGTTGTTCAGATATAAACTGGTCAACATTGATAACGTTGTGGTCCGAAATATAGCCTGAATTCAAAGTAGAATAACTCACGAATTTCCTTAGCAATTTGAAATCGGTTTCCACCGATAATTAGCCTGATCTCTTGACAGTTTGTTGTAGCATTATGAAACTTCTGTAATTTCAGACAACATTGCTACAGGGTGATAATTGAATGGGTTTAAAATTGCATCGTGGTAGTCACCTTACCGTTTGAACAGATTTTATTTTCTCATCTGTATCCTCTTGATTGATGCTTTCTGACGAAACGTTATCGGAATTTTCAAATTCAGAGCTTTGATAATCGTGCTATGAATATTCATTCAATATGATGCATTTTTTCCACGATTAGTTAAATGGGATTGAAAGATGGAATTCTTCTTCGAAGAATCAGCGTTGTATACAGTGTGTCCCACTTACCATGCTCACCATGGGTATCTTTTTAACGGTGAGAGATACGAGGTCGGTTAAATGACACCAAATGTGGAGTTTGTCAAGGCCAACCATAATGTGAAAGAATATTTTGATAAAATCTATTCGTTTTTGTTTTATACGCAAAAAACAGATTTTGATCATTTTCATGTCTCCTCCGTAACTTCTTTAATTATGAAAATATTCAAATAGGAATTTCACATTCTCATGGCAGTTTTTCAAAGTGATTTCGAAAAAAAAATGAAATTCATACCAACTTTTCTAGAATTTGAGATATCAGCACCAACTTTAGTTTTTCAAATGTAGGTCATAGCTCACTATGACTTCGTTACAAATAACTTTTTTTTCTCTTACAGATGATATGTCGCAGTAATAGTTTTGTGTTGATAACAACGGAGTTATCGTCACTTATACAAAAACGAAAAATTATTTGAAAGCCACCATCTTGAATTTATAAACTTTAACAAGAAAATCATGATCTCCGACCTCAAAAACCCCCACTTACCAATTTTGAATGGAATACATTACAATACATTATGGGATTTTTGTTGAAATTAAAAAAAATGGCTGCTCCAAGATTTGGTCCGATTCCATTCAAAATTGGTGAGTGGGGGTTTTTGAGGTCGGAGATCATGATTTTTTTGTTAAAATTTATAAATTCAAGATGGCGGCTTCCAAATAATTTTTTGTTTTTGTAAAAATGACGATAACTCCGTGGTTATCAACACAAAACTATTACTGCGACATATCGTCTGTAAGAGAAAAAAAAGTTATTTGTAACTAAGTCATAGTGAGCTATGACCTACATTTGAAAAAACTAAAGTTGGTGCTGATATCTCAAATTCTAGAAGAGTTGGTATAAATTTCATTTTTTTTTTTTCGAAATCACTTTGAAAAACTGCCATGAGAAAGTGAAATTCCTATTTGAATATTTTCATAAATAAAGAAGTTACGGAGGAGACATGAAAATGATCAAAATCTGTTTTTTGCGTATAAAACAAAAACGAATAGATTTTATCAAAATATTTTTTCACATTATTATAGTTGGCCTTGACAAACTCCACATTTGGTGTCATTTAACCGACCTCGTATCTCTCACCGTTAAAAAGATACCCATGGTGAGCATGGTAAGTGGGACACACTGTATATAGTCGTCGGACATGTGATCGTGTTCGAACACAGAAAATTCCGAAGAAGTCTATACAAAGTGATACAAGAAATACTGAATGATGGAATGGAGAATAACGTAGTCTTCAGTAGATGAAACACAATTTTCTCTGTGTTACTAGTGAAATAATGGAGTGTTACTTCGTCATGAGGATGTCTGGTGTCTGACCTCGAAAGGGTTTTGTAATTTCTCGGATCGAAGGTCATATATATAATAAAGGTACGCATTTTTAATCAAAATGATGCATTTTCGTTAAGATAAATCATTATAAAATTCAAAAAACTACGATTGTAGTTCCAGAAGTATGAAATTTATATTTATTCTTGACGATGGATATACAAGGTGCGACAAAAAATATGTATACTATATATATAACTAAATACTTCGCGCATTGTTGTAAAACAAGAACTCATTTATTACTAAATGTTTAATAATTGAGGCATTTTGAGCCAATTCAACACTATTTTTTATATTGAGCTAAGCAGATCACTACTTTCGAACTATATTTTTGACAATTGTAAGGAAAATGTTATTTACGAAATACTTTGGTGATAGAGAACTGATTTTTTCAACGAAGCGCAACCACGCACTAGATTCAAAAATAACTTGCATTGTTGATTGTTTTCATGTTTTCAAACTTCTCAATGTGCCTATTTACAGTAGGTACTGTGTTATTGTTTACACTAATTATAATGGATCTAAGAATAACTGTTCTCAAATTATATTGGGAAAACTATTTGGAAAGATATAAACTCAAGTAGAGGAAGAAACATCACAGTGTCCATCACTGTATTGCAGTGCTACTCAACTTGTGATTCTTGCTCTTTTGAATATTTCGTAAGTACCTATAGCTATACCTACTATACAGGGTGACCAGGTTAAACGTCATTAATTTAAGAGATAGAACAACGAAAAATAATGAGACTCTCGAAGAAAAATGTTGGTTATAAATGCTCCCTTTCAAAGATACAGGGTGTTCAAGTTTGGGGAAAAATTAGATTTCTCATCATAACTTTCAAACTACTCGGACGATTTCAATCAACTTTCACACACAGGCTAATGTTTTATTATTCATCTCTGAGTATTGATTGAAATCATTTCACGAAATTCCACAGTGGGGTAGATAATGGGGGTTGTCAGGAGAAGGGATGCCTTCTCCCTCTTCTAATCTTTGGTGTCAGTGGATATTTTACAAGAAAGAATAAATTCTTGGATTCCTTGTTCGATTCAGAGATGAGAATACCTTCGTAACTTTTTGATTTATGTAATACGTTCTCAAATTTTGATTTGAAGGGTTGCAAGAAGATTAAATCTTATGAGGTACGGTACGACTATGAGTTATGAATAGTATGTCATCCAGTAATTTTCGTGGAGTAAACAATACTGAGGTGATTCGTTGATTCCAAATCTGATCATCAATCCATCATCCAAATCATCGAGAACTCAATCAAGGTGTGAAAACTCTGACACCCTGTATCTTTGTTAGGAATCATTTCTAGCCAAAGTTCCTTCATGAAAATGGCTTCTTTCTCGTTGTTCGATTGCCTATTAAAATTAATGAGATTTAAGCTGAACCACCCTGTATTGTTATAATCAAGGAAGTAGTTTTGAATATCGATTTTTGTACGTATACTAGTTTTGAAATTTGCATTATAGAACTTCAAGAAAATTTCAATAAACTGAGTGTTCGTTAAAATTTCTAAATCTAACAGTGTGTTACAATCTGGTCCACTCCACATCTGTACTTTCGCATTACTAGGGCGATTTTAATTTTTTTCTCTCATAATATACAGCTCAAATATATCTATACTCTACCGAACGAAAAAAGATTTTCAAACAGAATTTCTTGGCCTACTTCGATCACAAAAACTCCAGCAAAATTAAAAAAAAACGAATTATGCATTTTTCACAAGAATTTTGATAATGACAATTATTTCGGACTAGTCACAAATACTCCTATATCAATTTTCAGAGCAATATATCATATTAGGAGGTGTTTTTTATCAACGTTACAATTTTTGGATAATTGCATTTTTCAAGTCACCATGTATAATAATTCTTATAATGCATTTCAATGATACTAGGCATGATGGTAGTCAGGATTTTTTTTTATGTTCTGGTTCTCACGAAAAAGGATATCTTCTAATGTTCAGAGAACATCGTGAGAACCAACGGAAATAAGGTATGAATTGGTGTTCTTCTTAAATTTCTGAGGGTTATATGCCTCGGGGAACACCTCCCTTGGCAATGTGTTCCAGAGCCTCGCTGTTCGTTGGATGAACGAGTCTTTGGAAAGAGATGTCTATGAAATAGAGCCAGATCGCCATCTTTTCTACGGTGTTCCAGAGAAGATAGTGGGGTTGTGAGCGAGGCATCATCCATGAGACGAATTGCCTTTTTTGGCCAGAATCCAACAGTTTCAGGGCATGTTTGGGTGCTGCACTCCAAATATGGGAACAGTATTCCAGGACTGGTCGGATCTGTGCCTTATAGATCATAAGCAGCTGACTGGAAGTGAAATTGCTCCTGGCCCGAAACAGAAAAGTTTTTGGGATGCAGTTTTAGCAATTGATCTCACGTGATTTTCCCAAGAAAGGTTATTGCTGATAGTGATACCAAGCATCGAAATGAATGTCTTCAGAGTGAGAAAAATAAGGAATAAAATCACTAGAAATTAAAATTTTACATCAAGAAATGAACAGAAGAAGAAAACACTGAATAATACCGATGAAAAAATAACATCAAAACATTTGAAAAGAAAAACTAAAACAGCAACAGTTCCTCACAAATTCATATTTTTATATTCTCGATCAAATCTCCTCAATTCTCTGTACCTACACTTTGCATATCTCTTACGCACGATGACTGAGATACAGGGGGGTCTCGAGATGCAAATTTTTCAACTTTGCCCTGTATCTCAAAAACGAATCGAGTTATGAAAATTTAGTAGCTAACGTTCGCAAAAACCACGAGTCTCTATTATGTGAAAATAAATGAGGTATCCCGTAATTTTCATGAGATTTTTGCATATTTTTCAGAAAATGCCGCTCAGAATTGGGTGTAGAGCTGATGACATTGATAAACATGAATTCGATGTGAATTCTTTGCTCTTTCACAACGGAAAGCTATACAGTGCAGCTGATGATGGAAAAATCAAAGTGGGTAAAAATCAAAATATCGATTGTTTTTTCATAAACTAGTAAAGAGAATAAGGTTGTCAATTTGAAGAATCGAATAGCTTTTATTCTACGACTGCTATGACAAGTAGCGCATTTCTCATAGCTTACTTACTTTCAAAACCATGTATTGTCCATACTGTGAGAAATATTTCTTCTCTTCAGTGTATTTTGCACCACTTGTTGCACGATACACTTTTCTCACGATTGTGAAAGTTTGTGGCACGAGCCGAAGGGCGAGTGATGCAAACGCACGAGTGAGAAAAGTGCTTTTCCCCACATGTTGCACACTATACTTTTGCTACAACTGCACTCATTCAAAGAATCCGAGTAATGTAACTTATTGATATCCATTTTATAATGTGGCACTATGTCACATTGAATATTGTGACCAAAGAGAGTATATAGACGGCTTTTCTAGTTCCTCAAAGTATTTCAAAACAGTATACATTTTCCGAAAAAGATTTTATGTCTGTATTTTCTCAGATTCCATACATTTTTCGTACCAATATGTCAATTCATAATTTTTTCCTGAAATTTCCGGAAACAAATCCAACTTTTGCAGCTTTTTTCATTATCTCTGTCTCTGGCGGTATATTTATCAAAATCGTCACATCTCGGTACATACATCATATTATTTATAATGAATTGATGGAACAATATTTGATGGAGAATGCGATTTTTATCAAAAGCACTAATGAGAACTACCATAAAGAATATAAAAAACTTCTTCTGACAGTTGTGACAACTATTCAAAGCTGAACAGCAGCCAAATTTTTTTCGATTCTTGTTGATTCTCCATGGAAATGTATGTGGTGTTGGCAAAGTGCCGTGAGAAAAAATATTTCTCACAGTATGAGCAATACATGGTTTTGAAACTAGGTTAGCTTTGAGAAATGCGCTACTTTTCATAGCAGTAGTAGAAATACTAATTTTTAGTATTTTTTCGATTTCTTGCTATAGTTATTGATCACGAACTAAGAAATACCAATTGTTTTACTGATAAAACTCGAATTTTCAGATGTGGACACCAGACTTGACTAAAATCACTGAAGTACAGTCGAATCCATGTTCTGTTTATTGTTTGGCAGCCAGTGAAAACACTTTATTTTCTTGCTCCAACGAGGGTACAATAAAATCCTTTGATTCAGACACTTTAGAGGAGAAGGGGGAATTGATCAGAGATAGCCTGGCTGAGTTTTGGAGTTTGAGCTATTCCAATGGAGTACTGTATTCTGGAGACAGTGAAGGATATGTGAGCATAATTTAGTCTAATCAACCCCAATAGGCGTGTGAAAATTTTACACTGGAATATATTTTTGTTCCATTACTCATGTGTATGAATGTCGAATTATACATACGAAAAACATTATTAAGCACCGAATATTTAATAATTTCTGATTGAGAATCGTAATATTTGCAACTTTCCGACCAATAGCCGAACTGCAGCGATGATTTCCGACTGGATGTGGCTGTTTTTATTTGTCATGTCAAACATTCATGGGAAAATATAGAAGAAGAATACCATGGCTGCATGTTCATGTCCGAAAGATTGAAAATAATATAAGAGAAAGTGAGGTTATGATTATCTGAGCTTGTAGTTTCTATAATGTATCTCAATTATATGATATATTCTGAATAATAATAACTGAATAATAAGCAAATATCTACAATAAGAAGGATAAAACAGGACTTCTTTTTGCATGTTGTTTCAAATATAAATTACTACCTATCAATTTATATCTCATATAGTTTTCCATATCTTCTTCAAGCTGAAAACGAAATCACATATTATATTATTCTCCTAATAACATGAGGAACATAATCATTGATATATAATGGGTTTCACTAGGACATACTTGAACGTATACTCACTTCGAAATGGTCTTCACAAACAAATCCTCTGGTTTTCTCGGATAAATCATTTCTACTTATGGCTTGCAGGCAGTATTTGGTATAAACATTATCATTTTCCATTTTTAAATTTCAAATTTCTGGCGTTTAAAACTGTTTTCTTCTCCTACCTCTTCTTCTTCTTTTTTTTTTCAATCTGAATCTTGTCATTCTGCCGCGCTAGTCTATGGCTGTGCGGCCTAATACTATGACGTCATAATATTAGTGATGGCCACTAAACCGTTTTCCTGTGACTTTATATTTAGCCTCATTTAAATGAAATTTTTTAGAATCACAAGCAAATTTGAGATTAATGAATGATATCCAGTTTTATTATAAGGGAGAAGGAATATAATTTCGATTAAACAAAAAATCATGCGTACCTATTCTTTATTGATAGTGTGAATTTTGCAGATTATTCTGGATGAAATGTCGATAATTGCGATAAAAGCATGTAGGTGAAGGTGTCCTCACTATGTGAAGTTGCTACAGAGGTTACTGTTGTTTGTATTTCATTTTATCTATGAATTCAGACTTCCTTCTCTGAATTCAAACTTCTTACTCTGAATACGCAATATATTCAGGAATTCGTTCCTGTGATCTACCGTGAATGCTTGGAACACCCTGTATACAAATATCTTAGTTCAATCCAATAAAGCGTAGGTACCGTATACGAGAAACTCGACTTTGCTGATTTGGGTATGTTTATTGACGAAAATTATTCTGCATCATGATAAAATAACAACCGTTCTTAACTAACCTTTTTGAACTACGTTTTATTCACACCAATTTTCAAAATTTTTCATCGAACTTATAGAGAAACAATTGTCATCATCCTGTCCTATTCAAAGGGAAGTAGCTTCCTTAGAAAGCATCTTCGGACCCTTATTGATAGGAACTTTTTCCCTCATTTTTATGCAAGAATTACGCCCCCCAATAGAATGCTGCTTACTTTTGAATCACCCTGTATACAAAATTAACTCGACATGATCTGAAGTCAAACGTGAATGCTATGTTACCCATAAACGTCAAAAAATTTCCAGTGTAATTTCATGCTTCTTCCTCCGAGGAGGAGGAAAAATTTCCGGAAATTTGTTCAGTTGCTATGGTAACGATGCAAAATACGGGCTTCTGATTGGTCGAAAATGGTAGGTTTTAAATTTTCAGGATGATTTAGGAGCAGTTAGAAATCTGTATAATTATGGTTTTGTCTTTCAAAAGAATTAGAAAAGTCATTTCATACCTAAATTTGAGGCCGCTAAAATTTTTGAATTGATTTCAAATATTTTGAAGACGTCATGAGATAAATTGAATATATATTTCTTTTTTTTTCTTCTAGTTATATCTGAATTTTTACTTATTTTTTTGGCGTTTCGGGAACGAATCTGCTCGCCTCCTCAACATGAAAATGCAAAATATTTTTCAATTCAAAAATTCTGTTTTTATAGTTTGACATTTCTCAGTGACAATATCAAAAAAGACATAAGATAAATCTGAATCATTTTTTAGGAAGGCACACAAAATATCAATAGTGCGCCATATTGGATTCAGAGTTATGTCCCATTATTCCTCATTATTCTCGGCAAGTCTTTTCAATTGATACCAATATCACAGAAGTGCATAAATAATAACTATTCCGCCATCTTGGATGGTCCACCATGTTGGATTCAGAATTGCGTCTCGTCATTTTCCGAGTTGCTTTCAACGAGCCCTTTTATTTCAAGCCCATATTGTAGAAGTAGATGAATGATAAATATTTCGTCATCTTGGATGGTCCGTCATATTAGATTTAGAATGACGTCACATTATTTTTCGAGTTGCTCTCAACAAGTCCTTTCATTTGATATCCATATTGTATAAGTGCATTGAAAATAACTATTCCACCATCTTGGATGGGCCGCCATATTCGATTTAGAATGAGGTCACATTATTTTTCGAGTTGCTCTCAACGAACCTTTCCATTTGATACTCATTTTGTAGAAGTGCATTAGAAATATTTATTCCTCCATCTTGGATGGTCCGCCATATTGAATTTAGAATGACGTCACCTTATCGTGCATTGTCATCCAAGCAAAACGTATATAAGAAAGTTCACCCCAATCGGTTGTAGATATCTACTTCAAAATTGAATTATTCAAAAATCCCACCTGAACAAAAATACATACATACATTGCAAGTTAAATAGAAGCTTTTAAATTTTCATTTATTGATTCTGAAAATAATTGAAAAACGAGTTGTATACTGTTATTTATACTTACCAATTCATCCTCTTTGGTTCCAGATAAAATTCTGGAAAAATGGAGAAGTTATTGGATCCCTTAGCATTGGTGAACCTGTCAAAGACATGGTTGTCTTCGATAATAAGATTTTTTCAGTCAAAGATTTAGATCTAGTGATTACCGATCTTAGTACCAGTGGTAAGCAAAAAAAATGATCACAGTTTCATCGTTTCCAAGCTGCAATCCATCTGAAATTGTATTTTTTCTGCAACCGACACAAAAGTCGTCCATTTTGATACTAAAATTAGCTCTTAAATTGACGTTTCTATTACTGACACAAAAATAGGTATGTTGCTAGGCAACATATTTAGTTCCTAGGAGCTAAAGTTGAACTTTAGCTCCTAGGAACTAAAAAGGATCTACTGGACGTCATCAAGAATAAACAACATTGTGATGGTTGGTTATTTGGGTTGCGACGCATACCTGATGGCTGATTTGTTTCCGATTTCAGCAGATTTAGCAATTTATACCCATGCTGGAGATATAAATACACCTTATTATAGTTAAGTATTGGAATTATAAACATCTCAGTTGAGTATTTTCGTTTTGATCAGGATTCAAGATTCAAATACTTGCTTGATCTGTATTTCATTCGTTATTCTCGGGATATGGATAACTTGTTTTTGAATAATCACGGCAAGCAATAGTTTTTTTGTCTCAAACAACGATATTGTTTAGCTTCATTTGATTATCAAGTCAAACACAGTGTAGTATGGAGAGGAATAAATAATCACTATTATCATTGTTGATATGCTCACTAACCTAACATTTTCCACATCCTAGAAAACCTAACCTGCTGTTAATGCAGATTGCAGGTAGAATATTCTCACCACATGGATTATTTGTCAATATTTGTTGCATTGCATACATATGGCACGGCATTGGTGGTTACTTCACATGTTTATTTGAGTTAATTGTTTCGGTTGCAGAAAAAATAGCATGTTTCATTCGGATCAAAAGTGACTTTGTTCGACTCGCAAATTTTGCTTTCGCTCGGCTTCGCTAAACGCTCCGCCTCGCAAATGCAAAATTCGCTTGTCAAACAAAGTGTCACTCTTGATCCTAATAAAACAATCTACTATTATTTTGTAGCTGAAAAACAAGAAGGTTCGAAACAATCTTTCATGGGCAGAGCTCCGGTAACAACAGTGGGTAAAGAATACTTTAGTTTCGTCAGTAGAGAAGGAACAGATTTATTCGTTCATGAAAACAACAATCAATCGCATTTCAGAGCTGTTACAAAAGTAAAGGTAAAACCATAAAAACATCGAGTCACCCATCTATTTTCAATCAGAGTTGGCAAACGATTATGAAACCTATAAAAAGGTCTTAGACTTTGATTTTGAGCAACTTCTGTCGTCAATGTCGAGATTTATTATGTCGAACAACTCTCTATCAAAACTAGCTCGTCTACAGAACAGAAAGGTTTGGGAATTCTTTGTCAAAGAAAGTGTTTCCAAGAACTCATAACGGCTTACCACCTCAGCTATGCCATCTCTTATCGAGTTTTCTTTCAGGCAGATCGCTTCACGTGGTGGTGGACGGTGTATCGTCTGATACCATTGGCATCAATTCCGGCGTTCCACAAGGATCAATTTTGGCACCAACATTATTCCTGCTTCATATCAATGATCTGTTGGGAGTAACAACTTGCCCCATCCACAGCTTTGCAGATGATAGTACCCTCCATACTGCGTTCTCTTCCAGAATTCCCATTTCTTCCCAGGAAACTAAGAACTCACGGCGCAGGCAGGTCAATGCTGTCAATGAAGACCTTGCTGAAATCACAGCCTGGGGAACCAACAACCTAGTTGAATTCAACTCCACCAAAACTCAAGCCTGTATTTTCTCTAGAAAGGCGGAACTCAGTATGCCCGACATTGTAATGTCTGGCTCCACCATCCCCACCAAGCCCACCATATCTATGCTCGGTATTTCCATCAGCAACACTCTCTCATGGGATAATCATGTCAGATCCATCGCAAAAGCTGCTTCACAAAAACTCGGATTCTTGTTCCGTGCGTAAAGCTACTTTACACCTCAACAGCTTCTCATGATCTACAAAGCGCAGATACGGCCTGTTCTAGAATACTGTTCCCACATATGGGGTTCAGCACCAAAACATACGCTGATGCTCTTAGATTCCATCCAGACAAGAGCCATTCGCCTGGTGGGTGACGCCACACTCACTCACTCTTTGACATCATTGGAACACCGTAGAAAGGTCGGCGACCTTTCACTTTTCTATCGATACTTCCACGGGAAATGTTCTTCGGAAATCTCTGCCATCATCCCTTCACTAGCAATACCAATCAGACGAACTAGACAAGCCCAGTCAGCCCATCCTTTCGTTGTCAACCTCGAAAGATGTCGAACAGCACTTTATCAAGACTCTTTCATCCATAGAACGGCTAGGCTCTGGAATTCATTGCCTGTGGAAGTATTCCCAACAAAATATAATCTCCAAAAGTTAAAAAAAATTCCAATACCTACCTCCTGTCCCTATCCTCCCCAGGAACGCACGATGTTCTTTGAACATTATAGGGATTCCCTTTCGTGCGCTCCAAGCGATAAAAAAAAACCTATAAGAGTATACAGAGTGCCTCGATTTTACATCGAGAAATATATTAAAAGGGTAAATCAGTCTGTTTATGTTACAGGGTGCACATGAAAAGATCATCAACGCTCTGGCAGGCGCCAAATGGAACGAGAAAAACATAATTTTCAGCGGTGGTTGGGACAAGCTGGTGAAAAAGTGGATTATTGAAAACAATCGCTTGAAGTTGGATTCGGCTTGTGACGTCGAAATCGTGGTTAACAGCATCGTAACGGGAGAAGAAGAAGAGATTTATGTCGCTGGAAGCGATGGACATATTCTTCGTCTCGAAGATGAATGAATAATGGGGAGTCGGTTTTTTTTTTGTTCATTTGAAGTTATACACCACTATTGCTGACAACTACTTCATGAGACAGCCTGTATAGTAGTGGAACGAAGTTTGGAAATGGAAATTTTGACAAACATTTTTGTTGGTTTAGTTATATTAGTATTTTGCCTTCACACATTTTCAATTGTTATATTCATCAAACAGAAAAGGAAACATACGCTTTTACTCGTTGAGTCGTACCTATTTTACGCAGTTATTACCTATGCTTACTATTTTGATACATGTTTTGATACTTTTTTAAAGTTATTTTTCTATTACTATCACAGAGTGCAGTTCAATAGATACAGTTGACTTCTTGTAGTTTTAGTATATGCCATCTAGTTCTTATAAAACTTATATTTTGAATTATTAAAATAGATGTGTTCCATGAATATATTTTTTATTGCAATTTTCCATTAATAAGCAAGATAACAAATGCGTGAATTCAATCTTACATAACATGAACGCATAAAATCTTTACAGGGTGTAGTGATTCACACGAGACCAACGAGACGAGACTTTCATAAAGCCTCGTCTCGTCTCGATAATGAAATATGAAGTCTTGTCTCGAGTCTCGTCTCGACCTCTGAATTTTTTTCGGTGTTATTTAGAAACACCTTGTATATCTATGTATACAGGGTGTCCGTGAAAGGTCTGTACAAAATCTAAGCACATAGTCCTGAGGTCATAATAATTTTTTTTTATACAAGCACACTAATTTTTATTATGCTAATTATTTTTTTTCTATGAGGTAGTTCGTACCGGGGCATATTTGTGTATTCTTGTATTTGTAAAACAAAATATTCCTTCAGTGAATTCAATTTTTTTTTCTTCCTGAGAAGTTTTCTTTTTATTCTCAAGATTATATTCTCCATGATTTTTTGAAACTCATTGATATTAGATTTGTTGTATTTTTTGTATTTCTTATTCAGCAGGTTTCATTTCTGCTTGCAAACAGTCAAAAAATTATTCCCTCAACAGAAAAAGTGAAAGATTACACTGAGAAAAAAGTTATGGCAATTCTCGTGAGACGTGAATTGGTAATAAGCCCCCTCTAATGGCCACAGTGAAAAGGTATACTTATTCGGGTTCCGCATCCCGAAAAGCCTTTGGCTTTGGCAATTTTTGAAGTTACATTTCGAAAAATCCATTTTTCATTTTTTAACTTCACCACCCTGTATCTCGGAAATGAAGCAATTTCGGACTGGGGTAAGTTGCTGCAGCTAATAAGGAAACAAGAACAAGTGAGTTCCGAACTGTCTTGCTCAGTCCTTCCAAGACATTGATGGAATAAGTTAAATCTTGGGAGCAATGCATATTGAAATATCCAAGAAAGCTGGAGAATCGATTGAGACGGCAACGCTGTTTATCTATAAATAAGTGATCTTATCTATTCTCAACATTCAGGGATTTGGTGGTTGAAAATTGAACAGATAACTAGAATATGTGAATCGATAATTTTAATAAAAATTTGAAACTAGATCGACATTACAAAAATTTCTTACATTAATTTAATGAGACACGGTATCCAAACATAAACTTCAACTCTTTTATCATTAATCAAATTGAATCCATACAATCACAGTGGGTGACGCCAAAAAAAAAAGAATGACGACTCAGGTCAGTCAACCTAACCGCCAATCATATTTCCACTGACATATTAGATCACAGTACAGTTTTTCACACTAAAAAGCACTTCAAATTTCCCAAATCGCCCAAATCCTTCCATTTTCCCGGTATCGGCGGCCATTTCATTCGACCTCCACTCTGACAAGATGGCCGTCTCCACCGCCTACATAGACCTCTCCTTGGTCTCCGATGGCGATAGCATTGATGACGATTTCAAGGTCGCAAGATGAATCGGGTTTCATCTCATCCGCTTCCACGTTCCATCTCTTCAATTGTTTGTCCCAGCCACCGCTGAAGATTAAATTTTTTTCCTGCCATTTGGCTCCAGCTAGAGCGTTGATAATTTTCTCATGAGCTCCCTAGAACATCAAAAAATAAGCATGAAGGTGAGAAATATTTTAGCTTCATATCTTGAAAATAGGACAGTCAGTACCGAATCTGCTAATTCTGAGTCTCATAAACTGTCAATGATTAAGGGTGTTCCACAAGGATCTGTTTTAGGACCAATACTGCATCTGCTTTATATTCAAATCAAAATATCACGAAAATTGGTTTAGCGAGTAATGATACCAATTATGCAGATGATGCAGTGCTTTTATATAGGAACAAAAATCATCTAATTTTAGGAACTGTGATAAACAACGATCTGGAATTATTTGAAAAATGGCTCCACTCTAACCTTCTATCAATAAATACCAGAAAAACTGAATGCATAATTTTTCAACAAAAGAATTTACAAAAAATTCAGCTCAATCTTCAAATGAAGATTGAATTCTTGAAACATACTGAACAGATAAAGTATTTAGGTATCTGGTTTGATGAAAAATTGAAGTGGGACAAACATATTGAGGTTCTGACAAAGAAAGTATCTCCTATTATTGGTGCATTGCGAAGATGTCCCAAACTCAATATAAAAATTGCAAATATAGTACTCTATTCACATATACTAAGCTGAATCAACTATTTAATAAATGTTTGGGGATCTTGTCCAAAAAATAATTTCAATAAAATATCAACATTATATAGGAAATCATTAGAAGTACTGTATCGTCTTCCATATGATACACCAACAACTGAACTGTATGCCTTAACAAAAACATATTTCTTAGAAAAACTGTACAGATTAGAGACTGAAAATCTCATACAATATCATAAATAAAAAATTGAAGTCTAATATTATTTTGACAAGTAATTTTAGAATTCATAGTCATCATACTAGACAATATACCTTATTTAACCTTGATGCTGCTAGTTCTACACTCGGACAAAAAAGATTCACTCATGCAGCCTTATCTGAATTCAATAAACTACCAGATGAAATTAAAAACTGCAGAAATATAGGTTGAAAAGAAAGTGAAAAAGCTGATAATTTCTGAGAGAAATGTTTAAAATTCATCAGTAAGCTTGTCCATGACTAGAATTATTTGCTTTGTTCATTGATTGTTTATTATTTATCAGACGGCCTCACCATTGGTATAATAAAATGGTAGCTCTAGGCGTATCCAAATCCTCAATTTTTCCATGGGGTGCTGTCGGTATGAGTCGAAAGATAGGTGACCGGCAGTCATCCCCTATGAGAGTCATGTGAGAGGGGCTGGGAATTGGTCTCACCCGGTTGCTACCCCAGGGAGGAAAACTTTTGGCCTTCCTCGTAACGAGAACAGGGAAGGAAAGAGTAATCTTCCCTGTCAATCGTAGGAGGAGGAAAACTTTTGGCCTGCTTCGTAGACGAGAACACGGAACGAAAGAGTCATCTTCAGGAACCTGTACGAATAGGGTATTTCACATTGAAGTGGCTTGTAATGAGCACCATGAGTCGTACCTATATATGATAAAACTGATAACGACATGTAGGTTATAGATACAATGGGCCACTAGGCCTAAGTGTGGTCAGAGACATCAGTCAGCCGAGCCTACAAACAGGGTGGAGTGTTTAGTGGGTATACCTTGGAGCTAGGGAAATTCCACACTATCAAATGGAAGGATTTCAACCACCTCGAGGAAAAAAATCCTCATATCCTGAAATTTCTGAGGGATGAATGACTAGAGAGATTGCCTTAGCTGCGGAGAATGAACTTTATATACGATTCAACAAACCTTTTTTTCTCAAATCAGACCTATTATCGAGATTAGTTCTTGCGATACAGTAGCTCGTCACTTTCATTGAATTACCCGGAACAGAATTCATTTCCATTGTCATATGTAACAGAGGGATGCAAACGCAGCGACATTGCAGGAATGTGTTATTGGTTTTTCTACAAAATGTCTGTCAAATGATATAATGCAACTGGCCCTGATATTGTGAGACTCAAATTAACTGTTTCGGGCCAGGAGCTGTTTCCCTTCCAGTCAGCTGCTTATGATCTATAAGGCACAGATCCGACCTGTCCTGGAATACTGTTCCCATATTTGGAGTGCAGCACCCAAACATACCCTGAAACTGTTGGATTCTGTCCAAAAAGGGCAATTCGTCTCGTGGGTGATGCCTCGTTCACAAACTCTCTCACTTCTCAGGAACATCGTAGAAAAGTTGGCGATCTGGCTCTATTTTATAGATATTTTCATGGACGATGTTCCTCTGAAATATCACCAATTGTTCCTCCCTTGGCAGTCGCCGCGAAATCAACTCGTCGAGTTGAGGTTTCGCACCCCTTCGTGGTCACTTTGGAGACCTGCAGAACATGTCTTTCCAAAGACTCGTTCATCCTACGAACAGCGAGGCTCTGGAACACATTGCCAAGGGAGGTGTTCTCCGAGGCATATAACCTCCAGATATTTAAGAAGAACGCAAATTCCTACCTTATTTCCCTTGGTTCTCACGATGTTCTCTGACATTACAGAATATGCCTTTTTGATGGAACCAGAACATAAAAAAAAACTTCCTGGTTATGAGTTTCTGAAATGTAGGATTTTTTTGTCCGATGTATAAGAAACGTCTCTGAGATAGAATGTTGAAAATAAACAAAAAAAATTGGTTTGTCTCTATAGGATATCACAGTAGCGGAAAAGATTGATATCGCAATGATACATTAGTGAAAATACGGTTACATTTACTATAGATTTCCATCAGAATACAAAAAAACATGTGAATATTTCTTACTTGAACTTTTGTGACCAGTTTGAAATGTGAATCGCTGTTATTTTCGTGTAGTAAAATATCCATTCCTTCTCTGCTGATGAAGCTGAAATACTTGTCACCAACTATGGTTACAGGTGCTCGACCCATGAAAGAATTTTTGGTACCAAATTGTAGTTTTTCACCTGTATCAAAATATATTTTATATGAAACTGAGGATGTGAGTGATCCAATGAAATTAACTTACCGTCTAGTTTTACGTCGCTTATTATTAAATCCAAATCTTTTACTGTGAAGATCAAATGTTTGTAAACAACCATGTCTTTGATAGCTTCAGCTACGTTGAGTGAACCATAAAATTGGCCATCTTTCCAAACTTTCACCTGGAATTCAGAAATTATGAACTAGATATTGAGTAACCAGTTAATGAACGCGTCATCTTGTGTAACGATGATTTTGCGGGACGACGCTTGTCCAAAATTCCTTTCCTAACGTGTCACGTACAAAATTTTCTCTAATTTTGATGAAAAATTTGTTCAGTTGCTAAGTTGCTATGGTAACGATGAGAAATACAGGCTTTCAATTGATTGATTGATTGATTGATATGCTTTATTGTCCAAAGAGTATAATATCTTATTGACAAAGTTACAATTTCCTAAAACTACAAATATATAATATCTATGTATTTTTTTAAACACAGTGTCACACATCCATATACACAATAAAAATTATAATTATTATCACAGTGAAGAAAATAAAATGAAAGATACATCATCAATATCACAGATTAAAAACATTCTCCAAAAAATTCTTGCAGACTATAATACGGTCTTTCACTGAGGAATTCTTTCACGGCCTTTCTGAAATGAGCATTATCCGTGGTTTTCAGATAATTTGGTAGGTGATTATACATTTTTAGACCATTGTATATGACTGAGTCCTTAACGAGGGTTGAGGTGGGTATAGGCAGTTTGAGGTGATTTGTTTGGCGGGTAATATAATGAGAATTTGAACTCGAAAATGTCTTTTTATGTTTATTGATAAGGCAAACCGTTTCTAATATGAAAATGGCATAAAGCGTCAGGATTTTATCTTTAATGAATAAAGGTTTGCAAGAGACTCGTGGTTTGACCTTATTTAAGTATCTTATCGCTCTCTTTTGTAAAATAAAAACTGGCTTCAAATGAGTATCAGCACAAACTCCCCAGAAAGGTATTCCATATCTCAAGTGTGATTCTATCAATGAAAAATATACAGTTTTTGCTGCAGAAGACCCTAGTTCACTAGAGGTTATCCTAACAGCATAACAACCGGAAGACAGTTTTTTATTGAGCGTTGCAATATGGTCTTCGAATTTCAGTTTATTGTCTATTGATACCCCAAGAAATTTTGTGCATATTTTGTTCGTGATCACACTGTCATTCGTGCCTAAAGGTATGTCGTCTATACTACAACGGAAGGATACTACATTGGTTTTGGATATATTGAATGATAAAAGATTACAATCACACCACTCTTTGATCTTTTGAATGTCTGAACAAATGGAATTATGAAGATCGCTTGCATTATTTGCACGCCATAGTAGTGTAGTATCGTCCGCGAATAGAGTGAATCTTCCTTTTATATCAATAGATGTCAGATCATTAATGTATAACAAAAAAAGCATCGGTCCCAGTACTGATCCTTGAGGTACTCCAGTATCGATTTCAGCTACATCCGACTGAGTAGTAGTTTTAACAATTTGGCTTCTACCTGTTATGTATGATTTGAACCATTTGTGAGTGTTCTCATGGATACCATAGTGGCGAAGTTTATTAAGCAGTATTTCGTGATTCACGCAATCGAATGCTTTGGAGAAATCACAAAATACAGCTGCTACTACTTCTCGACTGTTGATGTTATTGTAACATCGGTCGAGCATGTTAGGTGTGAAATTTTCAGCCAAATATACTCACGTTTCCTTCGCTGTCCCCGGAATATAGACAACCATTCGAATAACTCAGTCTCCAAAACTCCATTTGGGTGTCCCTGACAAGTTCTTCTTTTTCTTTAAGAGTGCCCAACTCGAAAGATTTTATTGTACCTTCGTTTGAACAGGAAAACAAAGTATCCTCATTAGCTGCTAAGCAGTAAACTGAACATGGGTTCGACTGGACCTCAGCAATTTTCTTCAAATCAGAAGCCCACACCTCAAGGAAAAAATAGTTATTTAACCAACTAGTGTATTAATGAGGACGATTAATGATCGAGATATTTTAACGTGCGAGCGAAGCGAGCGCGTTAATGTTCGAGATCATTAATCGCCTTTTAATATACAAGTTGGTTACAAAATTTTTCCGTCGACTATGTTTCTCATTTCTCCTGCAATGATGAAAACATGGTTCGCGAATTCATCATCCATCCGGAAACTGCTAAGAATCACCCAGTATAGCCTTGTTACTGACATTAGTGTCATTTGACATCTGTCGAAATGATCAACATAGGAAATAAATTCCTTCTGTTAGAAAACAAGGATTAAAATCGTGTCAGAAAGTTGGGAAGGCGAACCCGTTAACGGAAAATCGTCGATGAAATCCATATTTTCGATTTAAATGCAGATTCCGCTAGTTATAGCATAAACAATGAATGCACGCGGTGTATGTTTGGTTGCCTATAAAACAATCGTGCTTTAATAGACAAATCGTCCATTAATAGGGGTCATTAATGAACGATTTCATATACATTAAACTTAGTCGTTAATACGAGGTCGACGGAAATAGTTATTTAACCAACTAGTGTATTAATGAGGGCGATTAATAATCGAGATATTTTAACGTGCGAGCGAAGCGAGTGCGTTAATGTTCGAGATCATTAATCGCTTTTTAATATACAAGTTGGTTACAAAATTTTTCCGTCGACTATATTTCTCAATTCTCCTGCAATGAAGAAAACTTGGTTCGCCGAATCATCATCCATCCGGAAACTGCTAAGAATCACCCAGTAGCCTTGTTACTGACATTAGTGACATTTGGCATTTGTCGAAATGATCAATATAGGAAATAAATTCCTTGTGTTAGAAAACAGGGATTAAAATCGTGTTAGAAACTTGGAAATGCGAACCCGTTAACGGAAAATCTTCGATGAAATCCATATTTTCGATTTAAATGCAGATTCCGCTAGTTTCAGCATAAACAATGAATGCACGCGGTGTATGTTTTGTTGCCTATAAAACAATCGTGCATTAATAGACAAATCGTCCATTAATAGGGGTCATTAATGAACGATTTCATATACATTAAACTTTGTCGTTAATACGAGGTCGACGGAAAACAATATTTAAAATATTGAATACTCATAGTGGGATACAGATGAATTCAAAAGGAACAAATTATTGGAAATATGTACCTACATTGGTACCGAGTGGTCTATTTGAGACTATCCATACCCTCGATATATCCGAGAATAATTATTTTACAGAATAATGACGAAACAGGTCGATTTTTATATGGAGGACACCTTTTGGTGCGAAATATACAGGGTGTTTCAAAAAAACCTAACCCCCTTACTAGGGTAGGTAGAACACTGAAAATATGTTGGGTTTACTTAGTAAAAGAATGTCGTGACAGCATCCGTTATCAAGATACAAGGTGTTGAAAAATTGTTTACATATTTTTTACGATTATGTTTCTTGAAATCTGACATTTTTTCGTAAAATGATAATTCTGAGAGATATCGAGGGTGGATAGTCTTAAATGGACCACCCGGTATATGTTTGAGAGGTTATATTATGATCTTAACTATTGAAAAAATATATAATGCATTGTGTTTTCATTTTTTCAGTATTAAAAAAATCCATACCATGATTTTTCCATCATCACCAGCACTATAAAGTTTTCCCTTGTGATAAAGCAAAAAGTTGATGTCAAATTCATGTTTGTCTGCATCATCAGCTCTACATCCAACTCTGAGAGGCATTTTAAGTAATATATGATATCTATAATGCAAAATTACAAGAACATTTTTATAAATCTCGGCTACAAATGGTGTTTCGTTGATATTGTGAAAAAGCTCCTTGCAAAAAAATGAGAAAAGAGTTTCTATGAGTTTTATTTTTCCTATTTTCAGAAGCACTGTATTTCGAGAGGTGTATTTCAGTATCAATTGTTCTGAGTACACCCTGTATAACAAATCCTAACATTTTGCAGGGAGAAGGTTCATTCAACTTTTCTTTCAGCATTGACAAAAACAGTTTTCAGGATCTTCTTCACTCGATTCAAAAGCGTACAAAAAGTGAATTGATTTCCTTTTTTTCTCAAATATAAAAAAGCGAGATTTGAAGAAGAAAAGTTGTTTCTTGAACTCCCCAATCTTGAATTCTATAATTGAATACAAATCTATTAAATTTCAAGAAAATGTTAAGGAAGGTTTCCAAAAAAATAGATAAAGACCAGTTTTTGTTGATAACTTTTAACCCTCTATCTATATCTTAATGAAAATGTTTGATAACTTCATCCTCGAATCTTGATACAATCTACTGTTGAATTTGTTCATAATATCAATAAAACATTTCGTATCTAGAAATATAGCTAATTGAACAATTTTTAATTTCTCATGATTTTTGGGATTATTTCAATAAATAAAGCGATTAGTATTATTGCAATATACAGTAGTGAGGACAAATCAGATGATTTGCACTAGAATGTCACTGCTAAGAGAAAAATTAAATCTATGGTCAATGACACCTTGTTTCAAAAATGTTTGAAGAAGAATATATATATTGAAAAAGATATAGAATTCCACTTATCTTCGGACGTTTTCAACAGTGAAAGGTGAAATGATGTCTGAGCTAGATCTCTTCGTTTTTTATTTTCACACGAGAAGAAAAAATCCCAAAAAGCCAGAGAGTATTCAAAAATATTCTGTCGGTATACTCACAGCTACTTTCTTGGATTCACTGTTAGCTTGTGTTCAGTCTCCAGTCAGTCTCACACTGAGTCTTCAGTATAATGCTACAAGATTTTTCAGCTGAATTTAACTCTGGTTCGAGTATATTTTTGGAATTACTCTTTCTGCACTATAAATATTTACCCAGACAGCGATGTAAATGAAATAGCAACAGTGACTTCTTTGACGTGAAACAGAAATAAATCAGACTTGTTTTTGTACACAGATTTATTTGAAAATGCCAAATAAATATTTTCGTTACAAGAATTTTCAAAGTCAAGTTCGAATTCTTTATTTTTGTGGCTGAAATATTGTTTGAATGATTCATCTGGGATTTGGAAAATTTTGAATGATTTTCGTCCTGCATGGGGAAGTCAAAGATCATGCCCTAGGCCCTAGGAGATTAGAAGTATCAATTCAGTTTCCTAATCAATGAGGAATTAGAATAAATATTTCATTCCCTGAAGTGCATTAATTTATTGTAATGCACAAACACGGAAATTTGTATGATTTTTTATTCTTAATAGCGTACTCAATAGTCCATAAGCACCTACCTCAACTAACCAGCCTCAAGTTTGAATTATATATTCATTTAAATACAAGCTACTTACTAAAATAAATTTGAAGGAAAAACATTACACAAATATTGAATTCATTTCATTTTATTAGTTATTTTTCCGACTATGGGCATTGACAACGATTTAACAACTAGTAGCATCAAATTTTTCAACTCCAAATCTGTCAATTAGGCTGAAGTTAGTCTTTTATGAGACCGAAATATGTCCCTCATGATTGTGTAACAATACCATTGAAATTTGTGGAGACGACTTTGAGCATTCTTTCCTTTCTTCATCAATTATAGCTGATCCGGTACACGTCGTTTTGTTATGTACATTATTTCTTATTTTCTACTTCTTTTCAGTTCGGTAATATATATGTCGTTAGTTTCATAAACTACTATTTATTTTCTACTTATTTTCAGCTCAGCTATTTTATTACAAAGCTCGTTCGACATATTGAATCTGCCATCTTGAATATTCTAATTATGACGGAGGAATCATAATCTCCGATCCCGAAAATCCTCACATACCAATTTTAAATAGAATCGAATCATAATTAATGAGCTCATATGTCGTATTGGATCTGCCATCTTGAATTTCCGAAATTTTTCGAAATAATCATAATCTCCGAACCCGAAAACTCCCAAATACCAATTTTGGACAGAATCAGATCATAATTACAGAAGTCGTCCGTGATATTGGATCCGCCATCTTGAATTTTCGCATTTTGAGATAAAAATCATAACCCAGATACCAATTTTGAATAGAATCGGATTGGAATTACAGAACTCTTTTGCCATATTGGATCGGCCATCATGAATTTCGTAATTTTGATGAACGAATCATCCTTAGATACCAATCTTGAATGGAATCGGATCATAATTACGAAAATCTTCTGCCACATTGGATCTGCCATTTGGAATTTTCAAATTTTGAGGAAAGAAGGATAATCTCCGAACCAAATTGGACCATAATCACAAATCTTGTCCGCCATATTGAATCCGTTATCTTGAATTTTTCAATTTTGCCAAGAAAATCATAATCTCCGATCTCAAGAACCCCCAGATACCAATTTTGAATAGAATCGGATCATAATCACGAAAATCGTCCGCCATATTGGATCCGCCATCTTCAATTTCTTTCTTTTTTTTTCATAGGAACATTCTCCTAGCAATAACAAACACAACAAAAATGAATAATTCAAATTGGTCAAGCCGTTCACGATTCTGTAATGGACATACAAAAATACAAACATTAATTTTCATATATACAGGGTGTATCTAAATAACACTCAGAAAATCCGGTGTTGTACAATGACATTTACCATGAATATCGATGAATTTACCCACTGTGACGCTACTGGAAATATTATTTCGAATCTACTTGCACTAGAAGAAGCTTCATATTACTATTAACAAAACCACAACGTTTTATTGAGATTTTGATGAAAAGACAATTGAGAAACCAATAGAGAAAAGATTTTTCATGGAAATATTGATACCCTGGTATCTCGAAAACGAAGCAAGTAAGGACACATGTTAATATGAACTTTATTTCCTAAAATATCAAAAGGGATCATCTCATGAATTCTTTCGATGTTATTCAAATACACCCTGTATTGATAACCCTGTAAATACAAAGGACATGCCCTTGGATTTGTTTACTGTGGCGATGAAACACCCTGTACACAGGAAATTGATTTTCCATCGATTTAAGAAAAAATGCATGAAAAAATCAATGACAATAACTGTGATAGGTTCAAAATTCACGCAATTCAAACAAGTGAGGTACTTAGTTTTTGAAAGGTATCAGATTAGTATAGATGTAGTTTTCATTAGGTATTAGATTAGTATAGAGGTCAGATAATTTATACGACGCTATAAAAGCAGATGATATTTTATCATTGCTCATGTAAGATGGAAGTAGAGGCCATGGCACCATATCATGAGCATATTTTCATATTGAAACTATCATTGGGCACCAAAGATGTGTATACGACGCTATGCAAGTTCAGAGAACTGGAGATTTTTCCCACAAACTACGTACTTAGCCCACTCGACTGTCTTGGTTTTTCCACACAAACTACGTACCTAGCCCACTCGACTGCCAATAGGGACTGAAAAAACAAAAACAAAAGAAAGTTAAAACTTTTTCAACGTGGGAAATCAAGACAGTCGAGTGAGCTAGGTACCTATAGTTTATTGGCGAAAAATAAAGACAGTCGAGTGAGCTAGGTATGTAGTTTATGGGAAAAAAATCAAGACAGTCGAGTGTGCTTTTTTTACTTTCTTTTGTTTTTTGTTTTGTTTTCTATTGGCAAGTGATTATCTAGGAACTTGTACATTTTTTAGTTTTTTCATCGTATCTCCCGAACTATTGAATTCAGAGAAAAATGTTATACGGATTTTTTGTGGATTCTATCAAGAGGAATAATTTTGGTTCCATAACATTTTCAGATATTTTCAGTTGTTTTCGAGATATTTGGAATTGTCTGAGAATAAAATTTTCAACACTTTTGTTCCATCTTCCAATCAACAAAAGGAAAAAATATTTCATGGTTCAGTGGAAGTCGATGAGCTTCATCTATCGATGGGTCGTTCAAATTATTTTTTTTTTCATATGTTTTACTCTATTTCCTGTACTATTGGGTTTACAGAAAAAATTATCGGTAATAATTTGTAGGAAATGTTCCAGTGGATAACTTTGCACTCCTGATTATTTTCGATTTTTCCATTTGTTTTCGATATATATTGAATTGAAAGGATTTCAAATTTTGATGTTTTGATTTTCATTTGTTTTTCTATTTTCCGATGGATGCACGAAAAAATGGTGAAATAATAATTTGCTGCGTCATCGAAGAGGCATACGGTGCATTTTTCAAATTTGGATTTAGTCTAATGGTTCAGGAGATATGTCGTTTTAAAGCGAACCGTGTGTTTCGGAAAATCTCCCTGAAAAACCCACTTGGAATTTTCCGACCCTGCTCAATTTCAATAGGCTTCGTCTCTTCCTGATAGAGTTATTTTTCACAAAAAATGAAATCGATCAGACCACTTTTGCGATTTGTAGAGTGGTTACAAGAAACTTCCGGTGAAAAATCGAAAAAACCCGGAAAAACCACCTTAGAGTTTTCCGATTTCCTTCATATTTTAATGACATAATATTGTTTTGAGTACAATAAGATGGCAAAATTTCAAGTTGATATGTCAAAGGGTTCCGGAGATATATCGATTTATGATTAACACAGAGTACAGACAGACAGACAGACAGACCACACACAAAAACCAAACTTGCTCAAAATTCGATGGGGATCATTTTCTCCAAAGTAACTATACCTCTATCTCGCTTAGTTTCCGAGATAGCATTTTTGGCAAGGCCGTAGTATACTCCACTATGTATAGCGTCGTATAATAATGCACAATGAATGTGAATTTGTTCAAAATCGGTTGAAGTCTAAAACTTTTTTCTTTT